GGCACTCCCGGAAGCTGGCTAGGCAGGGAGGCAATGCATTTCTTGGCCTTTCTTTTCTCCTCTCATCTGCTATCTGAACCCAACAGAAAGCCTGAGGCCTTTGAGACCTGAAGAGCCCATTCATATAGTCCACACTGGAGCAGGTGCAGAAGAGTGGTGGGTGGCACTGGAAGGGCAAACGAAGACGCCCCACAAGCTAGCCAGACACACTCACCAAAGGCAAGCATTCCATGTCATCTTAGGTCAGAAGTGGCACTCAGAGACATATTTGGTTTCACCCCCACTGTGTTTTATAAAAATGTAAATCCATTGCCAACATTTTAAAACAGGGAGACTTTGCCCTGGCTGGTGTTGCTCAGTGGGTTGAATGCTGGCCTGGGAACCAAAGGGTCATCAGTTTGATTCCCAGTCAGGGCACATGCCTGGGTTTCGGGCCAGGCACCCAGTAGGGGGTGTGAGAGAGGCAATTAAGAAATTCTATTTCTTAAAAATAGAGTAAATAAAATCTTTTTAAAAAACACTTTTTAAAAAAGATTTTATTTATTTTTAGAGAGAGGGGAAGGGAAGGAGAAAGAGGGAGAAAAACATCAGTGTATGGTTGCCTCTCACGTGCCCCCTACTGGGGACCTGGCCCATATCTCAGGCATCTGCCCTGATCTGGGAATCAAACCCGTGGCCCTTTGGTTTCCAGGCCTGCACTCAATCCCCTGAACCCCACCAGCCAGGGCTGTCTTTTAAAGAATGCAGATTTTTGGCTTCTGGTGGAATATCACATGATATGGCAGCACTGGGCCACTATCTCCAAGGCTCCAGGCACAGGGCTGAGCGGCCACTGCCCCCTTTGAGAAGGGCCTTGTTTTCTCCATTTCAGAATCTGCCTGGCCCCCATGGGCATTTCAGTTCTCGACCCTTCAGTGCAGCTCCATGCTGACAAGATTGTAATCACAAAAACTGATCTCTTTCTGCATAGCCCTTTATGAAATTGCCACCCCCATGGTCCAGGATGTGTTTCTATTCATTTTTGGGGGGTATCACCTAAATGAAATGGCAAAATAAAAAATATTGTCATAGATCCTTGTCCATCAAGCATGAGCCCCCAAACACCCAGAGTCCCTGGGTCCCACTGCAGAAACCCTGGTCTGTTTCAAACCCCTCATTTGCAGCTAGGAAAATGGAGGCCCAAAGAGGAGAGATAAGCTCTCAAAGTCACACAGCCAGTCCTCATAGAGGCTGGGCTGACTCCAGTGGTCCTCTTTCTAGCACCACTCTGGGGAAGCACCAAATTACCACTTTGGTGTCAGCATTGGCCAAATCTGCTGTTGCATGGACATCGGTGTTGGGAGGCAGAATAACCAAATACCCAATATGGCATCTTTTCTTCATCATTTCCTCGTGCATGCCCTTATAGTTGTGACTGCTCAATTATTTGGTAGCAAAATGTTAATAATATCTGTACAGGCCAAGCTGCTATAACGAAGAGACCCAAACAATACAGTGGCTTACAAGGACTGGAAGCTTATTTCTCCCTCCTGCATAGTCCCTCAGTGAGCAGCCCTGTTGGCAGAGAGGTGCTGGTCCAAGCCGTCAGTGCAGACCCCAGGCTGCTTCCTCCATCCTGTGCTCTGTGGGCCTTGGTGTTCAAGCCTGTGGGCATCAGGGGAAGAGAAGGAAGGCCAGGCAGTAGTTTCCTCTTTTGGTAATGCTATAAATTATGAAATAATTATAGATTCACAGGAAGTAGCAAAGAGAGTACAAATGCTAAAAAGACAAACAACCCAATTAAAAATTGACAAAGCATTGCATAGCTATTTCTCCAAAAAAGAAAACCAAATGGCCAATAAACATGTGAAAAGATGCTCAACATCATTAATCATTAGAGAAATGCAAATCAAAACCGCACTGAGCCCTGGCTGGTGTGGCTCAGTGGGTTGAAAGGTCACAGATTCCTGGTCAGGGCACATGCCTGGGCTGAGGAGCCAGGTCCCCACAATTGGGGGTGTGTGAGAGACAACCCACATCCAGGTGTCTCTCCTTCTTTTTCTCCCTCCTTTCCCCTCTCTCTGAAAATCAAAAAATAAAATCTTTAAAAAAAAAACTATAAAAAAACACATTGAGATACCACTTCATACTCACTAGGATGACCGCAAAAAAACAAAACAAAACAAAACAAAACAAAACCAAGAAAATAACAAGTGGTGGCATGTGGGGGGCGGGGGGCTCTGCCCACAGGGCCCCCCCATGGCCGCCACGGATAAGAATAAGTCTACCAAGACATGATCTGCTTGGGGAGGAAAGGTGGCTGATCTCTCAAAGAAGGGCCAGGAGCCTGTTCCTCAATTGGCTTTTATTGGGTTCGTTTACACAAGAATTCAGGTAAAGCTCAAAATCATTGCCAGGCAGTAAGGATCAAACAATAGATAACAAAGAACTCTGAGGGCCTATTTTGAGTCAGGATCAGATAGCTAAGGAGCTGTAAAACTTTGAGGAACAAACTTACTTCTTGCTTGGACCCTTATCATTTAATTGAAGGCATTCTAAACAAAGCAGGTTTCACAGGATTTTACATATTTTTTCTTAGGCCTGACTGCCCAGGGAACCCTCCCTTTCCAGCACAGGGCTGCACCACCCTCTGTCATTGTTTCAGGCTTAGGTGGAGCAAGGGAAGTAAGGCAGCCAGGAGATTAGGAGATTTCTCGCAGACGATGAGGACACAGGTTTTGTCAAAGCTGAGTGGTGAAGGCCCATCACCCCCTTTTGCCATAGCCCCCAAAGTCCTTCCTTGGGGCCTCCCACATGATTATGCCTTTCTTAGGTCGTTCCCCCAGTGGGGAATCTTACCCGTCATTGGCTAATCGACCAAGCATTGGGGGCTAGTTATGGATGAAGTAAAAGGAGCAGAAGCAGCGCTCCTGCCAGGGAGATAAGCTTTTGTCTCCTTGGTGGCTTACGGGTCCGAGGTTGCTCCCTCAGCCTTAGCCTTGGCGGGGGTTACAGCTTCTGAAACCAGGCAGGGCGGGTCCCAACAGTGGTAAGGATGTGGGGGAAACTGCAACCCTCATACACTGCTGGTGGGAATGTAAAATGGTGCAGCCACTTTGGAAAATGATCTAGCAGTTCCTCAAAAGTTTAAACACAGAGTTACCTTATGACTCAGGAGTTCCACTCCCAGGTATATACTCATGATTACTGAAAATGGGTGTCCACAGAAAAACTTGTTCATAACAGTGTTATTCATAATCACCAAAAAGTGGAAACAACCGAAACTGATGAATAGATAAGTAAAGTATAGTGTATCTGCACATGCCATATTATTTGGCCAGAAAAAGGAATAAAGTACTGATATAAGCTACATCGACAAACCTTGAAAACATTCTGTGAAACTTTAAGTGAAAGAAACCAGACTCACAAAAGGCCATATCTTGTGTGATTCCACTTACATGACATGTCCAGAATAGGGAAACTCATGGAGACGGGACATGTATCAATGGTGGCCTCGAGCCAAGAGAAGAGGGAATGCGGGGCGACTGCTCATAGGTGCAGAGTCTCTTCTTGGGGTGTTGAAGGTACTCTGACATTAGCAGTGGTGATGGTTGCACAAGTCTGTGAATATACTAAAAACTACTGAGTTTACACTTTAAAATGATGAAGTTTATATTATGTGTATCATAGCTGATACTAAAGGAGTTATTAAGAAAAGAGTAAGAGAGCCCCCAGACAATTTATTTGTAAGCAAGCAAGGCAGAAGGTGCACATGCTCTTCCACCGACCCCCACCCCCACCCCATTGGTAGTGTCACCTGAGCATTAACAAATCAGGACATCACTAAAATTAAATGACAAAGGTTTATTCAAGGGTCTTAAGATTTGCTTTCTGGAAAGAGTACTAGGTAACACCCAAAACGTTGCGAAGGAAAAAGAAAAGTCAAGTAAAAAGTACATTCTTGAGAAAATCAGTCCTGTGCTCCGAGCCTCGGGGTCAGTCTGCCACGGGGATCTCCCAGACGGAAGGTGTCCCGGCTCAGGGACAGCCTTCCCCACGTTCTTCCCACGACGAGTCTCTCCTGAACCCTTCGGAGGGCTGTCTGCAGGGTTTGCGTCTGTTTCCAGGCATGGATGCACAACTGAAAAGTTCAAAAGTGAAGTCCTCAGGCCAAAGCAAAATAAAATCTCTTCCTCATGTTTGAGCCCATTCGCATTTAAATAATTTTGTTAGCTTGGCTGTGGATGGGGACTCCATTTTGTGTTTCCACTCTTTCCTCAGTGGCCACCTGCCTACTCCTCACCCCAGGGGTGCTGGGCCGCAGGGTCTAGCTCGCAGTTCAAGGGCTGATGGGCGGGGGGGGGGTCAGAGTTCCTGCCCCCAGGGAGAATATTCCTTCTCCACAGCCTGTCGGTTATGGGGTCCTACTTTTTCACCTCTAAAGAACTCTCCAACATGCCTTCTTCTCCTCTTTCCATGGCTCTGCCCTCTAGCTTTGTCCTCTCTCCATGGTCCCTTCCCCAATCTCCTCCCTGGTGTCCTGGCTGCCACTCTCCCTCTCTGATCCACCCTCCCCACAGCAGCCAGAGATATCCCTGAAACACAGCCGTCATCTTGCGGCTGCCCCCTGGATCCCTCCATGGCCCCCTAGTGTATTCTCTGTGCCACACTAAACCGAGCTCGGTGACAGAAGGACTCGGCCTGTATTCAGAGCCTTGAACAGTGGGGGGCGCATAGGAGGCGTGAATGACTGAACAGAGCCAACTGTGGTAGGGAGCAGGGCAGGCTTCCTGTGGAAGTGAGAATCAGGAAAACTTCTAAAAGACAAAGTAGGCCATCTTCAGGTGAGCAGCTGAGGGTAGGGGAAGGCATCCCAGGTAGGAGGGACCCACTGCGTGAAGACTTGTTGTTTGGGGGAGCAGGTCCTGAGCAGTGGGCAGTGGGGGGCTGGAGTGAATCTGGGAGAGGGAGTTGGGGAGGTTCTTCGGGGAGGCGGGGGCTCATCAGAGCCTGTCCTTCAGATGAGCGGGAGGCCGTGCAGAAGAAAACTTTTACCAAGTGGGTGAACTCGCACCTCGCCCGCGTTGGATGCCACATCGGGGACCTCTATGCGGACCTCCGGGACGGCTTCGTGCTCACTCGGCTCCTGGAAGTGCTGTCGGGGGAGCAGCTGGTGAGGGGCCCCGGAGTACTGGGGGAAGGGAATTGGCCCTGGGGTCTCCGGCTGGGCTAGGACTGGGGCTTGGCTAACCCTAGCGCGGAGCGTCCTAGGAGGTTAGCCGGGGCTAGCCCCGCCTAGCCCCGTCCTAGGCGGGGCTATGGCTCAGGGGTGGAGCTTAGTGGTGAGGACCCTGGAGGTGGGTCTTGGAACAGAGGATTCTGTTGGAGGTGAGTGCTCTGGCTGGGGCGGGACTCTGGACCTGGGTGGGGCTCCGTTGGAAGGGGTGGGGCTATGGGAGAAGGGAGGAACTTTATTAGAAGGGACTGGCCTGGGTGGTGAGGTAGCAGGGGCAGAACTCTGTTGAGGAGGGTTTGTAGATAAGGGTGTGGTTGTCATTGGAAGGGAAGGCCTTGGTCGTGGGAGTCGGGAGGGATCAGACAGAACTCTTGTATGAATGTGGCTTGTTGTGTGGGTCGCAGTTGTATTTCTGGGCTTGAGTGGGGCTTCATCGGGAAAGATGGGGTTCTGATGGAGCTAGAGATTCATTAAAGGTCCAGAGCCTGGAGCTCAGAAGTCCTGAGTGTCTTGACTGCAGATTAGAAACAAACTAACATTGAAAGGAAGAGAGCCATGAACAGGTCTTGGAATGGGGCGGGGCTTGATAGGACTGGGCGAGGCTCCAGGCAGGGGCCTGAAAGGGTGTGGCTATGGAGCTAGTGGCAAAACTTTGGTAGCCTAAGGCAGAGATCCAATGGAAGGGCGGGGCTATGGCTACAGGCAGGGGCAGAACTTAACAAAACCTGGTAAAGTGATCCAGTCGGAGGTGGGGCTTCGGTGAGGGTGGTGGGGACAGAAACTTGAAGCCTCGAGGAAACTGGGTCTGGCTACGAGAAGGGGTGGGGTTCTTTAGAAGGATTGGGTCTTGGGTCTTGGATAAGACTGTAGGGGCGTGGACTGGGCGTGTACATCCAGGAGGCGTGGCTGCGGGGCCGACTTCTTTGGAAAGGGTGGGGCCCAGGGCACAGTGCTCCATACCAGGCCTCCCATCTCCCAATGCTCCGCCGCCCTAGCCCAGGCCCACTCGCGGTCGCATGAGGATCCACTCTCTGGAAAACGTGGACAAGGCTCTGCAGTTTCTGAAGGAGCAGCGCGTGCACCTGGAGAACGTGGGCTCGCATGACATCGTGGACGGGAACCACCGACTGACCCTGGGCTTGGTCTGGACCATCATCCTGCGCTTCCAGGTGATCCTCAAGCGTGCCCTGCCCAGCCAGCGGCCCAAAGTGGGGCCTTAGGAGGGCGTCCCCACCCAGTCAACCATTCATTCATTCACTCATTCACTCCCGAAAATTCTAACATGCTCCAGGAACCCTGTTCCAGGTGGTGGAAATGAAAATAATAACAATCAGCAGCAGCAGCATCACTATCATCATCCTATATATATATTTTTTACTGTGTTCTAGACACTATTCTAAGCATGTGACATTTAATACACACAACAACCCTATAAGCTGGGTACTATTTATTATTCCATTTTACCAGTGAGGAAACAAGCCCAGAGAGGTGAAGTAATGCGCTCAAGGTCACACAGCTGAGTAGTGGAGCTGGAATTCGAATACAGACAATCTCACTTCAGTTCAGTAATAAGACAGATAAATTTTCTGCCTTTGTGGACAGACGATAAACAAACCTATGAATACATAAACAAGGGATGTATGTGAAAAGGACCAGCTCTAGGCAGAGAAGTAAAAAGAGCTAGGCAAAGGAGAGTACGATAAATCAATAAAAGGGATATAAAATATAGATTGATGGTACTGAGATTTTAGACTGGGTGATCAGAGAAGGTCTCTCTGAGAAGCTGGTTGCTGAATGTCATGGAGTTGGAGGGAGAAAGCATTCCAGGTAGGGGACACAGCAGCAGGTGCAAAGGCCCTGCGGTGGGCACAAGTGTGGCACGTTGGAATTACAGGAAGACCAGTACAGCTAGATAATGGGAAGCAAGGGGTGATGGAGGAGATGATGTCAGAGGGGCTGCCAGGGCCTAGGCGATCTATGATAAGCAGTTTGGATTTTATTCTGCCTGACGTGGGGAGAAATTGGAGAGTTTTATCAAGAGGAGGAGCATAATTAGATTTAGACAGATCCCTCTGTATTGCGGGTGGTCACCAATATTGGGGGCTGGGAGCTCAGGGAAGAGTCTGGAGCTGGACCCGGGATGGGGCACAAAGAGATGAAGAGGAAGGCAGGCAGGAAAGAAGCTCAGGAGAGGAGTGGGCATGCCACAGGGGGAGGGGAGGGCCAGGGGTGCATCCAGGCCCAGGCCCAAGGCTCTGGCCTGGGGGTTGGGGGATCGTGGGGCCACCCTGAGACAGCACCAGGGAGAAAGAACAGGTTTGGGAGAGACACTGAGGTCATCTTGAGGCACAGCTGTCATAAGGGGTCCAGGATTTTAGGAGGAGACATTTAGGGATCCACCGGATCCTGGGAATGGAACTTGGAGAGTGGTTAAAGCTGGAGGCAGGTATCAGTAAAGAACGAGGGCATGAGACCTTTGGGTGGTGGGTGGGGGCTGGTAGCTGGAGCCATAAACGAGGGGTTGGGACCTCATGGGAACCCAGTTTTATACTTGAACCCAAATGCCAAACTCAGCTGCTGAGTCTAGGGCCCAAACATCGAACACCCATCCGAAGCTCTCGAACCTGCTCTAAATTCTGAGTCATTCAGAATTTTATTGAGCACCTACTATGTGTGATAACATGTAGTGGAAACGAAACAGACATTTGTTACTACAGGAAAAAAAAAGACAAATACCATGTGGTCCTGGAACTTTTACAGAGTAGTGAGTGCATTAGTCTACTGCGGCTACTGTAGCAAAATACCACAGACCAGGGGTTTAAACAACAGAAACTTATTGTCTCATCGTTTTAGAAGCTGGATGTTCAAGATCAAAGTGCTGGCAGGTTTGGTTTCTCCTGAGGCCTCTCTCCTTGGCTTGCCCACAACCACCTTCTCTCTACATCCTCACGTGATTTTTCCTCCGTGTGGTCAGGTCCTTAGGGTCTCTTCCTTTTCTTAGGAGGATACCATTCATATTAGGCTAGGGACCCATCCTTACAACCTCATTTAACCTTAACTGTCTAAGGCCCCCTCCTCCAATACAGTCAAATTGGGGGTTAGGGCTTCAACTTACAAATTTGGTGGTGGTGGGGGACACAATTCAGCCCATAATGGGGAAATGGTAAGCCAGATGAAGAAATAAACTCTATGGGCTATGATAAATGCTAAGGAGATGATAAAGCAGGGAAGGAGGATGTGAAATTTGGGTGTGCATATTGAGATTTAAAACCAAGTGGTTGGTCAAGTCCTCACTGAGAAGGTGACCTGAATACAGACCTCAAGGAGGGGTGGAGCCTCGAGGGGACCTGGGGGAAGGATGTCCCAGGCAAAAGGAAGAGCCAGCACAAAGGCCCTGGGCAGAGAGGACAGTGGTGATTTAGTGAAGAGGACAGAGGTCTCTAAAGGGGAGCAAGCTGTTGAAGGGGGACCAGAGTCAGAGCAAGAGGAGATTATGAAGAATTTTATTTTTACCCAAACTGAACTGGAGCCATGAGTTGAGGACAGGAGGCACGTGACCCGATTTGGGTGTTCACAGGGTCCCTCTGTCGTTCAAAGGACAGACTACGGGCACTGGGCAGGGGGACTAGCATGGAGGCCACTGCTTGGCTCTGGCGGGAGATGGTGGCATCTGGGGTCAGGGAAGTGGCCCAGACACCAAGGAAGGAGGCATCCCTGGAGACTGAGGCCCTGATCCACCACTGCCTTTCGCTCCCCCTGCACCCCATTGTGGACATCCTGGCCCACTTCTGAACCCACCCTCACTCTCCTGAACCCCCACCTCAGAAACTGCCTCTCCTATCTCCTCTGTCACCTGCTCCCCTCCCTGGCGGCAGGGTGGGGGTGGGGTCTCCCAGCCTCAAGCCCTCCAGGCCCCAGCAACTTTGCTGTGTATCCTCCCAGATTCAAGTCATCAAAATCGAGACTGAGGACAACAGAGAGACGCGTTCTGCCAAGGATGCACTGCTCTTGTGGTGTCAGATGAAGACAGCTGGGTAAGCCCCCCAGCCCCTGCCATCTGGGCTCTCACCTCGGGGTTCCTTTGGGGACCAGGGAAAAGGGCAGCTCAAGTCCTAAGTGTCAAAAGTTACTGTGGAACTAATAAGCTGGTAAATAAAACACATCCACTCTTCTGGCCTTGACGAATAAACTCGTATTATCAGTCTGGGAGGCCAGGTTCAAACTTAGAACTTGGAGTCCTCAGAGATCAATGCTGGAAAGTGGTGGACTGTCCCCAGCCTGCTCCCTTCTCTCCCCCAACTCCCCCGCACCTCAGAAGGCCTCGTGCACTGGTGTGCATCCGCCAGCTCCAGGTTCCAGCCACTCCCCCTGCATGAACAGCCACCTGTCAGGCCAGCAGGGCACACACCAGGGCTCGGGCAGCTTGGGTGGGAAGTTCAGGGTCCTGGGTACCTTCAGTGGGTGAAGGGGACACACAGACTCTGCTGGGCATGTGCCCTGGACTCCTGACTCTCTGCCCTTCAGGGAGGGCCACGGTCTGAAATTCAAGTGGGAGAGCATCCCCTGGGAGGAAGGAGGGAAACTGGGCTTTGTCTCTCATCCTGGGGCTGTCCGTCTGTCTTGCAAGGGCAATCTGTTTCTCCCAGTATCAGCCACTACCTCTCCGTCTGCTCTCCCTTGTCCTTATCTCTCCCTCCCCGCTTCCTCCCTTCTCTCTCCCCTCCTTTTCCCCTCATCTCTGTATCTTGCTCTCTCTGTCTCTCTATCCCTTCTTCCCTCCTTCTTTTCTTCTCTTCCTCCCTCTGCCTCTCATTTCTACTCCTCTCCCGTCTGTCACAATCTCTCTGTCTCTGTTTCAATCTTTATCCCTGTTTCTCTGGCTCATTGTATCACCTATTTGTCTGCCTACCTACCTACCTATCGATTTATTTATCTATATCTACCTATCCATCCATCCATCCATCCATCCATCCATCGATGTCTGTCTCTCCCTCCCTCTCTTTTCCCTCCTGACTCTTCCATTTCTGTTTCTGTCTCTCCCTTCCATTCTGCTAGTTACCCTGAGGTAAACATCCAGAATTTCACCACGAGCTGGCGAGACGGCTTGGCCTTCAATGCCCTCATTCACCGGCACAGGTATTACGTGGTTTGGGGCAACCCAGCCCTGCCCTGCCCCCTACTCCATGTTCCTCAGGTGCACAGACCCAGGGCCTATGTCTTCACCTCTGTGCACTCACACACACTTCCCTTCACACACAGGTGCACAGACCAGGCCACATACCCTGTGCACACACAGAAACACGTGCCTTTGCCCAGCTGTGTGCACAGGCACACACTCATGCACATGCACCACCTGTACCTGCTGCTCAGATGTCCTCAGGGTGGGGAGCTCACTCTCCTGTGGATGGTCCACTCGAGTGTGTGCACAGCTCCTCCTCCCATCAGAGAGCCCTTTCTCATGCTGCGCCCCCAGAGCCCCCTTCCCACTCCCTGCACACCTGCCCAGCCATACCTCAGAGCCTGCTGCCAGCCTGGCTGGGGGTGGGGCACCCAGATGGGTCACATCCACACCGTGATCATCCATGGGACAGACTGGGGAAACTGAGACCTAGAGGCCTGGAGGGACTTGCTCTGATATGGCAGAAGCTAGAACCCACACGTACACACTTGCATACACGTGGGGAGACCCAGCTGCACGCACACACCCGGAAACCCGCCTCAGTGATGTGGTCCAGCTAACAAGGTAGCACGGATGGAGTACTTTCTGTTCACCCAGCACTGTTCTAAGTGCTTTCCAGTAAGTCACTGACTATTCATAGACCCTATGAGGCAGATGCTATTATTATCCCCATTTTACAAATGACAATGAGGAAACAAGCACAGAGAGACGAAGTGGCTCACCCAGAGGACAGCCCGGAGGTGGCCAAGCTGGGGTGTGAGCCAGGCAGGCTGGCTGCAGACCTCACACGTCTAACCGCTGCATAGTGCTGTGTAGAACACACTGAAGCAGACCACACGCACCCTGATGTCTGACACACAGGGCCCTCACACCCACAGCAGATGCTGCGCGCACAGGGGCCAGCTTCCTCCTTGGCGGGGTCGAGTCCCTCCTGCCCCTTGCCCTGGGTGGGGCTCAAACAAGGATGACTTTCTTCCGTTTGCCCACTGGCTCTGGAGCCTGCCCACCACCTGCCCACTCTGTGCCCCTGCCCAGGCCCGACCTCGTGGACTTCAGCAAACTCACCAAGTCCAATGCCAACTACAACCTGCAGAGAGCCTTCCGCACAGCTGAACAGCACCTGGGGCTGGCACGTCTGCTGGACCCTGAGGGTGAGCATTGCATGGCCCTGGTCCCAACTACCTCCTTGGGGCTCCCAACCCCAATGCCTTCCCAAACTCAGTTCCATCCTACCCCAACACCGTCCCAGGTCCCAAGGTCATTCCAAACCCCAGCTCCCTTCCAGCCCCCTCTCCTTCCTCACCTCCAGCCTTTCCCTCTTCCCATCCCCATGTCTCTTCCTTTCTCCATCTTCGTCTTAAACCCCAGCCTATTTCCATTCTATCTCCAATGTGAGCCCCTCCCCTTCCCATCTTTAGTCATCTCCCCCTAAACCCACCCCCTTTCCCTAACCCCAGCCCCAAAGCCAACAGCATCCCCAACCCCAAACCCCTTCCTAACATTATCCCTGTCCCCATCCCCAAGTCCCACTTCCAACCCCATTCCTACCCCCAGCCCATCCCTTTGTCTGCCCCCATCCACAGCGCTGCCCTCAGCGCCCCCTTTCCCTTTCCAGTCCATCCCCAGCCCTACCCGTGAGTCCAGCCTCATCCCCAGCCCATGGTCACACTCCACACCGATCCCCCATCCCTGGAATGACAGCTGCCCTTTTCTGAGCACCTACTATGTGCCAAGCACATGGCTGGGAATGTGATAAAAACTTCTCTTTCATCCTCACACTGACCTGGTTGAACAGAATCGATCAGTTCTGTTCTAAAGTGATGAAAACAAAGGCTCAGGGGTGTGAAGTCACTTGCCAGGGTCACACTGAAAAGCACTAAACGGGACTTCCGACTCCAGAATTCATGGTCTTACCCATTCCTGTCCCTGCCGCTGAGAGCTGTATTTGGTGCTCAGCGCCAGCACACAGGGGGCGTTTGGTGGGTGTCGGTGTCACCCATGGGCGGAGTATGACGTTGTGCACTCACTGGGTGAATTAAAGTGGTCATTGGAATTTGTTGTGTCTCTCCTCCATGCGAGGCTATTCTTTCTGATACTTAGAGTGTTCCTGGGAGGCAGGCACTGTGGTTATCCTTGCTGTAACAATGGGGAAACTGAGGCTCAGAATTTAGTTGTATTTTCTAAGGGCCTGTGGCACGGAAGTGTTGAACTTGGATTCGAGCTTGTGCACCCTCCACGTCTCGTGTCCTTGACCTCAAACCACATAAAACACTCATACGATTAGTAAATATTTATTGAGCTCCTACTGCGTGCAAGGCATGGCAGGAAGAGTGGTTAAAAAGATGGGCATAGCCTGTGTCCTCATGGAGCTCAGACTGCAGATGAGGACATAATCACATCATGGACATCTAATTACAAGTTACAATAAGGAGCTTGGAAGAACTCGGAGGAAATGAGATGCTCTGAGGGACAGTAACAGGAGGAGACCAACTCTAGGGGGGTGGGCAGGAAGGCTTTTCCGAGGAAGTCTGAGCTGAGTCCTGCGGGGTGAGCGGGAGTTAGGCGCACGGAAGAGGGAACGGGGTTCCAGAGGCGAGAACAGCGTGTGCAAAGGCCAGGAAGTAGATCGTTCATCAGTGTGTTCCAAAGGTACTTACAGATGATTTCTCACTGTGGTGTGTGTGTGTCCTGCACTATTTCTCCTGTGAGGTAGATCCCCTTCGGTAAATACAAAAATGAAGGCACAGAGAGGTTGGTTACCTTGCCCACGGTCATACAGCTAGTACGAGTGGGTTCTCCCTCCCTCCCCGGCATTTCAACCCCTCTGCACTGTGCTCACCATCGCACTCCCCCACTCCCCTTACTCCCAGATGTCAACATGGAGGCTCCAGATGAGAAGTCTATCATCACCTATGTGGTCTCTTTCTACCACTATTTCTCCAAGATGAAGGCTCTGGCTGTGGAGGGGAAGCGGATTGGGAAGGTACAAGGAACCAAAGAATGGGACCAATGGGAGCCTGGGAATTGCGTGGGAATCGCGTGAGAATCGTGTGGGAATCGCGTGCCTGGAATGAGGCTGACCCCAACTTCCCCTGCCGGACCAGGTCCTGGACCAGGTGTTGGAGGTGGGGAAGATCATCGAGCACTATGAAGAGCTGGCTGCAGAGCTGCTGGCCTGGATCCACCGCACCGTGGGCCTCATCAGCAACCAGAAGTTCGCCAACTCGTTGAGCGGGGTGCAGCAGCAGCTTCAGGCCTTCACGGCCTACTGCACTCTGGAGAAGCCCGTCAAGTGAGGCCCCGCGCCGGGGCGGGGGTGGGGGGGACGGCGGCAGGTGGAAGTGTGCGGGCTGGGTCCTGAGCTCAAGCACCCATAGGTTTCAGGAGAAGGGGAACCTGGAGGTGCTGCTTTTCAGCATCCAGAGCAAATTGCGAGCCTGCAACCGTCGCCTCTATGTGCCTCGGGAGGGCTGCGGCATCTGGGATATCGACAAGGTGAGGTTGAAGATGTGGGGGAGGGGCGGGCTGCTCGGTGGCGTTGTGTGGGTTGTGCACTGTTGGAGGGAGCCGTTCTCATGGCCGACACCGTGGGCTGGGGTTTCATTCTGACGGTTTTCCAGCAGTGAAGTGTCATGAGGAAGCAACATGTTTTTTCCAGTGCCATCAGTCCTAGGAGCGACCTGAGACAGAGAAGCCGGGGCACTAATCTAGGGGAGCCATTGGAGTCTGACGGCCCCTCTGTGTACCTAGGCCTGGGGCCAGCTGGAGAAGGCAGAGCATGAGCGGGAGGCAGCCCTGCGGGCTGAGCTGATCCGGCAGGAGAAGCTGGAACTACTGGCCCAGAGGTTTGACCACAAGGTGGCCATGAGGGAGAGCTGGCTGAACGAGAACCAGCGCTTGGTATCCCAGGTACTGGGTGTGTGGCTTGGGAGGGAGGGTTGCGCTGATGCTCTGGGACCAGCTGATGCTTTGGGACTGTGTTGATCTCTTAAGTAACAAAGAAGTGTTGCATTAGGTGACAAGAGGGTGGGAAGGGAGAATTGTCCTCCTAAGTGATTGGTGGTGGTGGTGGTGGTAGGGGGCGTGGGCCTGATCTCCAGAGAAACAGGAGAGTGAGGCTGGTCTCCAAGGTAACTAGGGAACACAAAATTACTTTTTTTTTTTTTAGTAATAGGGAGACTATTTAATTATCTCCTAAGTGGCAAAGAAGGTTGTACCTGGTGTCCAGGGTAACTCAAGAGGATAGAATTGATCTCCTAGGTAACAGGATAGGGTAGGTCTGGTCCCCAATCTCTAGGGAAATGGAAGGATGGGGCTTGTTTCCTAGGTAACAACTTGGTAACAATTTTAGGGTTAGAGATGCAACAGGGGAGGGTGAGCAACTCTCTCCGGTAACAGGAAAAGGTGGAGCTAGTCTCCATAGTAACAAGGGGATGGTATGGCTGGTCTCCAGGGTAACAGTGGCAAGTAGGGCTGGTCCCCAGGGTAACGGAAACAAATAGGGGAGTTTTCCAAGTTTACCCAGGGTCAAGATAACAGGTGGGCTGCTGAGGCAGCATGAGTGAGCGTCTGCGGTCTGTCCTGCCCCAGGACAACTTTGGCTATGAATTGCCGGCAGTGGAGGCAGCCATGAAGAAACACGAGGCGATTGAGGCGGACATTGCAGCCTATGAGGAGCGGGTGCAGGGTGTGGCGGAGCTGGCCCAGGCATTGGCCAGTGAGGGCTACTATGATGCCCGGCGGGTGGCAGCCCAACGTGACAGTGTCCTGCGCCAGTGGGCCCTGCTAACTGGGCTGGTCGGTGCCCGGCGGACACGGCTTGAACAGAACCTGGCCCTGCAGAAGGTCTTCCAGGAGATGGTGTACATGGTGGACTGGATGGAGGAGATGCAGGTGGGGGCCAGACTGGGGGCCAGACTAGGGCCAAGCACAGCTGCGGTGGGCTGGTGGGGGGGAAGGATATAGGCACCAAAAGGGCTGCCAGACACGTGGAGAGGGAAGTGGGGAGAGACAGAAAGAGATAAAGTCTGGGAGACAATGAGAAACAGTGAGAAAGAGAGAGAGAGGCAAAGAAAGAGACACCAAGAGAAGCAGTTTAGACACAGATATACTGGCAAAGACAGGGACAGACACAGAGAAAAAGATTATTCTAGGGGAAGATGGTGATGAGGAGGGGGAGGCTGATGCAAAGTTAGCAATAGTAATCTAAATGGAGAAAAACACAGAGGAAGATAGAATGCACTTGAGAAAGACCAACCAGACATAGATACAGAGAAAAATGGAAAAAGGAAGGATAGAAGCAGAGAGAGAGATACAGACGTGGAGAGAGACAAGGAGAGAAACAGATAGGGATAGATATGGAGACAGTGAGGGAGACGGAGAAGTATAAGTGAGAAAGAGGTAGAAGACCACTGAAATGGAGGCATGGCGTGGGAGACACTGTGACAGATCCAGCGCCCAGAAATGTGGGGCCAGTGAGTGATGGGACATTCTGAGATTCAGAGAGAGACATATTAGGACCGAGACGAGGAGACTGAGACAGAGGTTAGAGTTTAAGTGATGGTGCAGAGGAGAGCAGAGAGCTAGTTCGGGCAGTGGGGTGGGAGAGTGGCCTCAGGGCCAAGGCCAAAAACATTCTCAACATTGCCCCCTGCTGTAGGCTCAGCTGCTGTCCCGGGAGTGCGGACAGCACCTGGTGGAGGCTGAGGACCTGTTGCAGAAGCATGGACTGCTGGAGGGGGACATCGCTGCCCAGAGCGAGCGGGTGGAGGCCCTCAATGCTGCCGCCCTGCGTTTTTCCCAGCTGCAGGGTGAGTCTGGCATTGGGGTTTGGGGAGGAGACCTTCAAAACTAATACTGTTAGAAGCCTAATGACTTTTGAGAGAGAAAAGGAAGGAGTGGGCTCCCTGTCTTTGGAGGCATCCAAACACAGACTAGGATCCCACTCCACCAGGGATACGCCACCAGGGTAATTAACACCTTGGGCAGGAGGTCAAACCACATGACTTCTTCCCGCTCTGAGAGTCAGTAGCAGTAACTCCCATTTATTGAGCACTTGTTATGTGCTAAGCCTTTACAGCCGGATCTCAGTGAATATCATGAAAGGACTGTGTAAGGTAATGTATTGTCAGGGCCTGTTCAGCAGCAAGTAATGGAAACCCAATTCAGTTAGCACAAGGAGGAAGGGGGAATGTATTGGCTGATGTAACTAAAATGTCCAGGGAGGGGTGATGTTGGCTTCAGGAAGGGCTGGATCCAGGCATGGTTTGATGATGCTTTTAAGACTCTCTCTCCAACTGTCAACTCTATGTTTGTGTCATTGTTGGGCAGTCCCTTCCCTTGGGGTGTAGACCTGGGGTCATGCAGCCCCATGTTTACAGCTCAGCAGCCTACAGACCCGGTAGAAAACATTCCCCTTATTCCCAATAGTTCTTACCAAAGGTTCAGCAGAAGCTCTCATTAGCTCACTGTGGGTTCCATCCCCACTGCTCAGCCAAGCATCGTGACCCCAGACTATACAGTCATCTAATTGGCCACATCTTTGTGACATACCCACTTAAGGACCAGGAAGGGGAGCGAGCTCCATCCAAAGACATGGACCGAGAGAGAGGCGGTGGATGCCATTACCAGAAGCAGGGGCATGGATACCAATAGGCAAAACTAAGCTGGGTCTGCTGAGGTTCTCACCTTACTGTTGTCATTCTCGTCTGGTCAAAGACCCCCCAGGAACCCCCTCAGTCAGAACAAGCTGGGTTTGCTGGCTCTTTGCACACACCTTGGGGAACCTCAGTAAGCGGCTGTTAAGAGATGCTTGTTATAGGATGTTGGGCTGGTGTCAGGTGACTTGGGGGTGATTTCACATAGTGTCTTGCTGTAGATGGGATGCAGTCAGGAAGTGGGGGCGATGAGATGGCTGCACATCTGAATCATGTTTCTCCAGGTGGTGGGAGGAACAGGAATCAGCCAAGGTGTTCAGCCCAGCCAGGTGAAAGGGGCTAGGTGGTGTTTTTGCGGTCGGCACAGTGACCTTGTTTTGGGTGCACCCACACATCGTGGCCCTGTTTTGTCCTGCTCCATCAGCTGCGGGTGCTCTGTGGACCCCTGTGCGCTGGCTGTGTGTGCTGACAGCCATCGGGGCTGCTCTTTTCTTCTGCTCCAAGGCCCCTGATCCACTGCATCTTAGCTGACCCTGGGCAAGCAGCTTCCCTCCCTGAGTCTCAGTTTCTTCATGTGTAAGATGGGCTAGTAAGGATGCTGACCTCATAGGATGGTTGAGGATTAAATGACACCGTGACATCAGGCTGAATACATGGTTGCCATTGACTATTCAGTCAGATGCCTTGCTATTTGGGTTGATTTCAGTGGATATCCAGAATTACAGAAACCCCACATTCCATCCAGGGTGGCGTTGTGACCCAGTCAGAAATATGTTTACCCATAACCCAGAGCTCACACGCACACGTGCACTCACACACCGACACCGCGGGTTTATCAAACAATGCTTTCCTTTACCTCGTGCGTTGAATTCTGGTGTTTTCCATTCACTCGGTTCCATCCCATTCAAGACATGCTGGCTGCAGCCCATTAAGTGCACTTCACCGTGTAGGGGTCACAGATTAGAGGTCTAGTAGGAAAGTGAAATATTTTAAGAAAAAGGGAATGCAGGTCATCACTGGGGTTAATTTGTAAGTCAACAGAGAATGAGAGGTAAGGAACCCAGAAAACAGCTTAAGAATAGAGCAGTTTCATTTGGCCCAGTTCTGAAGGAATCACATTTTGCACGAAAATACACTGACGGACTCTAGCGAGGATCCTCCCAATCTCAGTTTCCATCCATCTTCCAGTCAATGTGACCGTTTTCATTAGGCTGCTGCTCTGGGCTCCACCCTGTGCTGGGCAATGGTGCAACACAGTGCGATGGAGGCGGCCCCAGGCTCTGCCCTCAAGGGGCTCCCAGTCCAGTGGGGGAGATGGATCAGGCAATGATCGCCCAAAGGGTTTCAGGGCTGGCATGGGTAAGCAGAGAAGCCTGGGAGAGCCAGAGAAGGCGCTCGCTCCCCAGATTCAGGGTGTCAGGGAAGGCTTGCCAGGAGGAGGGGACCTATACCTGGCCTCTGAGGAAGCCGAGCCAAGGGCTGGGTCAGGTAGCCTGCAACACGCTCTTTTGGACGCTCCCTTGACGGTGCCCAACCGGGGATCTTCCCCTTCTCCTGGCCCAGGCTACCAGCCCTGCGATCCGCAGGTCATTTGCAACCGCGTGAACCACGTGCATGGCTGTCTGGCGGAGCTGCAGGAGCAGGCGGCGAGGCGGCGCGCGGAGCTGGACGCCTCGAGGAGCTTGTGGGCGCTGCTTCAGGAGCTGGAGGAGGCGGAGAGCTGGGCCCGCGACAAGGAGCGACTCCTAGAGGCGACGGGAGGCGGCGGGGCGGGCGCAGCGGGCGGCGCTCACGACCTGTCTAGCACAGCGCGCCTCCTAGCACAGCACAAGATTCTGCAGGGCGAGCTGGGCGGGCGACGGGCGCTGCTGCAACAGGCCCTGCGGCGCGGCGAGGAGCTGGCCACGGCCGGTGGCGCAGAGGGCCCGGGCGCCGAGACGGTGCACCTGGCGGGCTTGGCGGAGCGCGCGGCGAGCGCGCGGCGGCGCTGGCAGCGTTTGGAGGAGGCGGCAGCGAGGCGCGAGCGGCGGCTACAGGAGGCGCGAGCGCTGCATCAGTTCGGCGCTGACCTCGATGGGCTCCTGGACTGGCTGCGGGACGCCTATCGCTTAGCAGCTGCGGGCGACTTCGGCCACGACGAGGCGTCCAGCCGCCGCCTGGCGCGCCAGCATCGTGCGCTCACCGGAGAGGTGGAGGCGCATCGGGGGCACGTGGGTGGCCTGCGGCGTCAGCTGGCGACACTGGGTGGCGCTAGCGGCGCCGGGCCAATGGTGGTGGCACTCCAGGTGCGCGTGGTGGAGGCCGAGCAGCTGTTCGCCGAGGTGACGGAGGTGGCTGCTCTGCGGCGCCAGTGGCTGCGCGATGCCCTCGCTGTCTATCGCATGTTCGGCGAGGTGCACGCGTGCGAGCTGTGGATCGGAGAGAAGGAACAATGGTTGCTCGCCATGCGCGTCCCCGATTCACTCGACGACGTCGAGGTGGTGCAGCACCGGTGAGCGCGCACTCATGAGACTCCAGGGTCCCCTTCCTCACACATAGTCTCACCTTCGTTAGTTCAACAGTTTCTTTGCTCACTCAGCTGGAAGCAGGGTTCCAGTACAAAGGGAGTGAGTTAGTCCCAACCACACAGGCTGTGGTGAACAATAAATGAGGAAATACGTATAGAACACTTAGCAAATCCATGGGGACAGGGACCATTCCAGGAGCTTTTGCTGTTATTACTCCAAGGCTTATGTTCACCTGGCACAAGCTTCTCCAGATATATCCCAGCCGGGCCCCTCCATGGGCACGTCCACTACCTTGCACACATCACGTCACCTCCCTTGCTAATAAATGAGCTCCGGCCCTTGTCACTTTCCGTTAGCCCTGCTTTACATTTCTTCACAGCACTTACCACCCTGTGGCATTAGATGCCAACTTAGGAGTGAGTTAAATTAGTGGATGACCTCTCTGTACCTTTTGCTTGGAGCACCTTGTTCCTCCATTCACTCACTTGGCAGGCGCTTACTGAACTGCTGCCCTGTTCTAGGTCTTGTGCTGGGCATTGTGGGGAACACAGACAGGTTTGGTCCCTGTCCTTACCATGCCCATGGTTACCTAAGCCACAGCTTTGGGCATTGTTTTAAACAAGGGAGGGCCCGCCCAGTTTTAAAAAGATCTCCCTGGCTGCTGTGTGGAGGGTGGGTTGGAGGGGATGGCTGTGGTGGTCTGGAGACCAGAGAAGCAGCTGGGCTGGGGACCCAGGTAGGAGGGTACAGGACCAGACCAGGGCAGGAGGCAAGGCAGACAAGCTGCGAGGGGGGACAGGCTGGGGACAGGGAGTTGTCCAAATTGGGGCTTTGGCCTGGGGGAGAGGGAGCTGTTCTTGAGACGGGGACCAGAGGAAGGACAAATTTGGGAGGACATATTGAAGCCAGTCTGAGTCACACCAGGAGTGGGGAACCCTAAGGAGATGTGCGATAGGCTCTGAGGTTGGAGGTGGCTCAAAGGGAAAGAGGTTGAGACAGCAAACTGAGATGTGGGGGTCACAAGCTTGGGGGTGAGGGCTGAGGCTGTGGGGATGTGTGAGGTGGCCCAGGCAAGGTGTGAGCGGATGTTCAGAGCCCTGGAGAATCTAACATTTAAGGGACAGGTAGAAGGAACAGGAGCTGGCAAAGAAGGCCGACAAGGTAAGGCTGGAGAGTAAGAAGATCCAGGAGAAGGCAGTTTTCTAAAAGCCAATAAGTGGGCCAGTCCCCAGGGTCTAGGCCTCTCTGAGAATGTTCATCCTTCCCTTGCAGATTTGAGAGTCTGGACCAGGAGATGAACAGTCTGATGGGTCGTGTCCTGGGAGTGAACCACACAGTCCAGGAGCTGGTGGAAGGGGGCCACCCCAGCTCAGATGAGGTGCGCTCCTGCCAGGACCACCTCAACAGCAGGTAGGCGGGGCAGGGGGCTGGAAGTCCTTCTAGGCACCTCCCAGGAGTTCCCTCCATCGTCCCTCTCCTCATCCACTCAACCATGGAAATCAAGAATGTGCCATTTCAAACCCCTGAGATAATAATGGCCTGCTGGTAAATCAGCAAAATTTGAAAGAAAAAAAAAAGGTTAATACTCAGTGCTAATGCTGATGTGATAAAAATGGGATACAGTACATGCCGGTGGGCTATTAATTTATTTGTTCAGAAATAATTTATTGTATATTTAATATCTGCTGGGAATTTTCCTAAACACTTTATATACCTTGTTTAATTTCTCAACATTCCATTTTCCATAGTGAAGATTCCAAAATTCAGGACTCCAAAAGCAGTAACAAGTTAACACCTTTCCCCCAAGAACACTACCAGCAGTTCTCCCAGTGTGGGTTGGGTTCATAGATGAAGACACAGACCCAAAGAAGTGAAATGCTTACCATGATCACTCACTCATTGCTTTTTTTAAAAAAGAGATTATTTATTTATTTATTTATTTATAGACAGAGGGGAAGGGAGAGAGGGAGAGAAATATCAATGTGTGGTTGCCTCTCATACGCCCCCCACTGGGGACCTGGCTTGCAACCCAGGCACACGCCCTGACTGGGAATCGAACTGGCAACCCTCTAGTTCGCAGGCTGGTGATCAATCCACTGAGCCACGATCACTCACTCAATCTAGTAACTTGGACTCAAGCCCAATTCTGTCTGAATCCAGAGCTGGGGCCCTTAATAGCATGTATTCTGTCTTCCAAGCAACCTGTGGGGTATAAATTACCCATATTCGAGGAGAGAAAATTGGAGCTCGGAGAAGTGAAGACACTGGCCCAAGGTCACACAGCAAATTATAGCGTCAAGCCTGGATTTGAAATTGACTTTATCTAACTCCCAAAACTGTGCTCTTAAGCACTGTGCTGCAAGATCTCAACGTGTAGTGAATTTACAGCCTTTGCAGCCCTGACAGTGTTGAAGCATCAGGGCCTCAAACAATAACAAAAAGAACTACAGCCTTTAGAGGGATCATATGTCAAGTGTTTAGCCACGTGATCTCATTAAGCATTCAATGAAGTGAGCTTTATTATCCTGATTTTTTCAGATGAGGAAACTGAGGATCATGAAGGAAATGATTTGCCCAGGATCACGTGGTATATCTGGCCAGAGCAGAACTTGAACTTGGGTCCTTCCAATGTCAGAGTCTTAACCTCTTCCCTTGTGGCATGTCCATTCTAGAGGAGGGCAGAGTGACAGTTAACAAACAAACTGTCTGTTAATGAACAAGATGTTTAAAGAATTGGAAAGGTTTATGCAGGAATTAGAGTGACCTGGCAGTTAGCACAGCCAAGGCAGAGCCCCGAGGCAGAGAGGGGCTTGGCACGTTCCAGAGATCAGCTCCATGCAACAGCAGCAGCAAACGAGTGCTGTTGAAGTAGTTCATAAGGCAGAGTGCACTTGACCCTCACTACACCCCATGAGGCGGTTGCTAAGCTATGACTGTGTCCATTTTACTGATGGGGAAACTGAGGCACAGAGAGGTATTAGTCAAAAGGTGCACATCTCAGATTTGACTGCAGCCTGTCCCGCTAGGATTCTATGCTTGTAACCTGGATGACATACGGTACACGAAGGGGAACTGAGGCCCAGAGTAGTGTCATCACTGGCCTGAGGGCACAGAGCAATACATAATTTTTCCATTAATTTATTTTGTAATAAAACAGATTTGCCTTTATAGCCCTCCGTCGTCAGCACCTGGCACATAGCGCCTGACCGCTTCCTGTTCACTGGACCCAACGTATTGTCTGACGTTGTCAGCTAGCGCTTCTCACCCTCCTTGGTCTCAGGACCTCTTTTTTTTAAACTGATTTATTTATTCTTATAGAGAGGGGAAGGGAGGGAGAGAAACACTGATGTGCAAGAGACATATCAATTGGTTGCCTCCCACACTACCTCAACTGGGGGCCTGGCCCGAAACCCAAGCATATACCTGGACTGGGAATCCAACTGGCAGCCTTTTGGTTCGCAGGCTGGCACCCAATCCACTGAGCCAGGGCTCAGACCTCTTTACATTCTCAAAACCTATTAAGGACCCCAAGGAGCTCATTTTGATGGGTTATGTCTATCAATGTTTACTATATTAGAAATTAATACTGAGTAATTTAAAATATTAAGTCTTTTAAAAATAACAAAAATAAACCTATTATGTTAACATTTTTAATGAAAAAATAACTATTTTTCAAAACAAAAAAATGTAGTGAGCAGCGTGGTATTGTTTGGCATTTTTGCAGATCTTTTTAATGTCCCGCGTAATGGAAGGCAGCTGAGTTCTCAGGTCTGCTTCAGCGGTGGGTCTTCGTCACGCAGCCTCTGGAAAATACTGTCGGGTCTGGAGACAAGGAGAGTGCAAAGGCAGACAGCGTCTTAGCGTTATTACGAAGATAGTTTTGACCTCGCCCAGATTTCATTTTGAGAACCGCTGCTCTAAGCTATTATGAGGGTAGGGTTTCACTTTACACAGGCAGAAACTGGGGCTCAGTAATACAAAGTCCTTCCCAAGGTCATGCAGTGGTTCTCCTCTGGGTGGGTGGGCCCTCCACACCCAAGAGGAGGTTCTGTCTTTCTCAAGCCACCCTCCTTCCCCTGGGTAGGTGGAACCGCATCGTGGAGCTGGTGGAACAGCGTAAAGAAGAGGTGAGCGCGGTGCTGCTTGTGGAGAACCACGTGCTGGAGGTCGCTGAGGTGCGCGCCCAGGTGCGCGAGAAGCGGAGGGCTGTGGAGAGCGCGCCCCGCGCAGGCGGCGCCTTGCAATGGCGACTTAGTGGCCTGGAGGCGGCTCTGCAAGCGCTGGAGCCTCGCCAGGCCGCCCTCCTGGAGGAGGCAGCGCTCCTGGCCGCGCGCTTCCCCGCGCAGGCTGGGCGGCTGCACCAGGGTGCGGAAGAACTGGGTGCCGAGTGGGGCGCGCTGGCCAGCGCTGCTCAGGCCTGTGGCGAGGCTGTGGCGGCGGCCGGGCGCCTGCAGCGCTTCCTGCACGACCTGGACGCTTTCCTGGACTGGCTGGTGCGCGCCCAGGAGGCGGCGGGCGGCGACGAGGGACCCCTGCCAGGCAGCCTGGAAGAAGCGGACGCCTTGCTGGCGCGCCACGCGGCGCTCAAGGAGGAAGTGGACCAGCGCGAGGAGGACTATGCGCACATCGTGGCGGCCAGCGAGGCGCTGCTGGCAGCCGACGGCGCAGAGCTGGGTCCAGGGCTGGCGCTCGACGAGTGGCTGCCGCATCTCGAACTTGGCTGGCACAAGCTGCTGGGCTTGTGGGAGGCGCGCAGGGAGGCGCTGGTCCAGGCACACGTCTACCAGCTCTTCCTGCGAGACTTACGCCAGGCGCTTGCTGTGCTGCGCAACCAGGTGCCGGCTTGGGGGTTCACGCGGGTGGGGGTCCGAGGCTGTGCGGGGCTGCCGGGACAGGGAAATGAATGGAGGAGTGTGTTTGCGGGGACCACTGGGTTTGTGGCTTAGCGGAGGTGTATGGGAGTGGGAAGGGTATCCCCGATAGATAGCTGCATTTGTGGATCATCCCGTGTGGACCTGCGTGGGTGATGTATGTAGCAGAATTTGAGGATTAGGATGGGAGGTGTGGTTTCTTAGCTGAGGTGACTAACGGTTTGGGCACCATCCTAGTGAGTAATGCCTTTGGCTGTTCACTGGAGTGGCTCCCTGGGCTTGTGAATCACCTGGAAGGTAGAGTGTGAGGTTGACTGATGATGGTGAATGGGGTTCAAAGAAAATCTTGGGGTGGATAATCTTTATCCTAACAGAGGATAAAGATTATGGAAGGCTGAGAGATTACTGGGATCAGTAAGTGTGGATCATGAGCTTGTGGGTACCTAAATTAGCAGATGATCTTCTTATTGGGGCTGGCAGTTTGCAGAGTATCTGGAGGGGGTAACTGTTTGTGACTTGAGGGATGAAGTGTGGTTCTCTGGGAACAGCTGGCCCAGTTTGGACATCATTCTGGCTTGGGAACCAAGTTTGTGGTTTGAGCAAGATAGAACACTGAGTTTTCAGATTGCCTAAGAGTAGGTACCAACTTTTGGGGGTCATTTGAGAAAGAGTGACCACCGGTGCTGCTTATCTAGAGAAAGCTGACTCCGTTGGAGGGTTGTCTGGGGTGGGCGGACAGACAGAGTCCCTGGAATCACGAGGTTACTAAATATTAGAGCTTAGGTAGCCTTGAGTAATCCTCTCTGGCCCGCCCATTTTACCAGTTAGAAAACCAACCCCAGAGAGGGAAAGAACATCCTTGAGGACACACAGCACCCAGTGCAGTCTTTAAAAAAAAAAAAAATTATTTATCTTTAGAGAGAGGGAAAGGGGGGAAGAGAGGGAGAGAAACATTAATGTGAGAGAAACATCAATTGACCGCCCCTTGCACACCACCCAACAGGGTCCTAGCCCGCAACCCAGGCACGTGCCCTGACTGGGAATGGAACCAGCGACCTCTAGGTTTGCCGGATGATGCTCTACCCACTGAGCTACACCAGTTAGGGCCCAGTTCGGTCTTTATCGGTTAACCAGACATTTACAGAGTGCCTCCTCTGTGCCAGGCACTTGTCTGGGGCTGAGCACAATAAGGAAACAAAATGCAAAACCCCACATTCATGTGGCTGGTATTCTGTGTGTGCACGTACTCGGGGGAGGAGACAATAAAGAAGCAAGTGCATATATGGTGTTATGTCAGGCCTATGCTGTGAAAAATAATAAATGGATATGGCTGGGGTGGGGGGTGTGATAATTTTGGCAGGGTGGTCAGAGATCTGAAGAAAGAGAAGGAGCCAGCCATGAGAATATCTGGAGGGACAGACTGCCAGGCGGAGGGACCAGCGTGAGCAAAGACCCTGGGAGGGGGCCATGCCTAGTGTGTTTGATGCTAGAAACAAGGGGGAAGAGAATGACTGTGGCAAGGCAGGCTGGCCGCCTCTCCCAGGTCCTGGAGTGGGGGGTGGGGGGTGGGTGTCTGACCTTTGCACCACCCCACCCCCTTCCCAGGAGATGGCACTGTCGGGTCTGGAGCTCCCCGGCACAGTGGAGTCCGTGGAGGAGGCGTTGAAACAGCACAGGGATTTTCTCACCACAATGGAGCTGAACCAGCAAAAGATGCAGGTGGCTATGCAGGCTGCGGAGGGCCTGCTGAGGCAGGGCAACGTCTACGGGGAGCAGGCCCAGGAGGCTGTGACCCGGCTGCTGAAGAAGTAGGTCCCTTGGTCCCCAGGGGCACAGGGGAGGGTGAAGAGGCCAGGCTTCCGCTCCTGTCCATCGCGATTTCTGTTTCTCTCCCCATCTCTGATTTCTATTTAATTCTGTATGTTTTAGATTTGATTTAAATCAACAACTTGTGAAAAGGTAACTTGTGGTTGTCAATCCCCAAAATACAGAAGGATACACAATGAAAAGGTTCTCTCCTGAGCCCCACCCTCAGCCTGGGGTAGCTGGACTGGTTGTTAAAATGTTACCTGTCTTCCTGCACGCCCGGCATCTGCAGCTGCTGTTCTGCCCCCTCCCTGGGAATCCCGGGACAGCCCCACATCCCTCAGTCAATGGCCAGGCAAAGGTTCCAGATGGGATGGTGTCTCCTACCATGGTGGTTCATCAAATACTGGGAGTGAACACTTCTGCCAGGCTCCAACCCTGGTTCTCTAGGAAGTGGCATGCAGAGTTTATGTGTTTGTGTGTCGCCATCTGCCTGTCGCCACTACCCTGCCTCTTGACTTGTACTAATCAAGCAAAGCTATTTATTGAGCATCTACTGTGTGCCAGGCATTATTCTAGACCATGAACAAAACAAAACAACATCTTAGCCCTCCTTTATAGAGTCCTTTATAGGGTTCCCTCCAGACCCACTTCTTTGTCTCTCTCACTGTCTCTGTCCCTCCTGGTGACCCTGGCTTTCCCCTCTCTGCCCTGATCCAGGCCGGAAGAGAGCCCAGCACCCCTCATTGTGTCTTTCCATCTCTCGATGGGAAGCACACCTGGGTATTTAACCACCATCCACAGCCCCAAGGCTCCAGCCTCCTTTTCCAAGGCTGGAGTTTGTTAACGGAAACTTTTATGGGGATTCTGGTCCTGAGGCTACAAACTCATGATCTAGTGTCCCCGGCTCCTGGACCCTTCCTTCCTTTGTTCTATGTTTCTTGAGTGCTGGCTGTATGCCAAGCTCTGCAGAACAAGGAGAAGCCTGGAGGACTGGTCATTCTCTGATTCACTTCTTCATTCCTTTTCAGTCATTAGTTGCACCTTTAATTCTATTGTTTATTCATTCACTCTTCAGCCAGTTAAACAGGTAGAGTCTGTACTCTGCTCCAGACCCTGTGTGGGGCAGGGTGGTGACCAGGACAGGGCATGATTCCTGCCCTCATGGAGCTTGCGTGCTGTCTGACAAGGGTGGCCCAGAGTGCTCAGGGCAGGGGTGAGGAATGCAGTGTCCTTGGGAACCTAGAGGGTGCATCTGCCCCAAGCTCGTGCTGGCCGAGCCCGGGAAGACAGCAGAAACTGAGACGGATCCAAGTCCTGCACTCCCCCCAACCCGCTGCAGTCACTTACTCTTCTAGGGATGGTTTTCCCACCTGGTGGAAGTAATCAAACATCCGTTCACCGTGGGGTGGGAGGGCTGGATGGGGGGGGGGGGCGCAGGGAGGTTTGCTGCTCACAGCATGTAGAGCTGGGGGCTGGGGCCTCGGGGTGAGACAGGACTGGATCCTAGTCCCAGCTCCACCACTCAACCTGTGAGATTCGGGGCAAGTCACACAGTGTCTCTATGGACCTTTCCTAGCCTGGAACTTGGCCCAGCCTATCTGCTGCGTGCTCTTCTTATCCTCACTTTGCACCTGAGGCTCAGAGAGGGTCACTGACTTGCCCAAGGCCACAACCAGGAAGTGTCTGGGCAGGGTTCAAGTCCCTCCTGGAGATTTTTGTCATCCTGAGGACTGATGCTTGACAAGCTGGCTGGTGAAGACTAGGAGGGATTGACTGCAGTTCATTTTCAGAGGCATTTCCTATCTGCTGGCTTCTGAGCTGAGTCCAGGCAAGAGGGAGTCCAGGAAACAGATAGTCCTCTGCTTATCTGTCTCTGGCGCTTCCTGTTCCTCCTTCCAGTTGTGCCCTGGCTCGCTCTGCAACTTTCCCTCACCCACTCTGTTTCTTGGCCTTCAGCCTCCATCTCTCTGTGTATCACTCTCTCCCTTTCCTCCTCTCTCTCCCCGTTTCTCTGCCTCCATCTGCTCTCTTCTGCCTCTGTCTCTTCTTCTTAAACACTTTACTTTTGTTTCTGTCATGTCTCTGCTTCTGTGTCTTTTGTGCATTCATTAAATCATTCATTCAACAAATATGTATCGAGTACAAATATGTATGTGTGCCGGGCTGTTTTTCTAGGTGTTGGGGACACCGCTGTGAACAGAACAGACAAAAATCCCTGCCCCCACGGTGTGATATCCTAGTGGGGGAGACAGACAAGACAAACGAATAGCATATATGTGTACATCGTGTTCCTGTTAAGTGCGAAGAAGAAAGTTGAAAAAGGAAGGAAAGCCAGGAAGTGTTGGGAGTGGCCAGGGAGGGAGGGTCTCATGGAGAAGGTGACATCTGAGGAGATAGTTGGGAGACGAGCATTTCAGGCAGAGGGAGCTGCCAGTGGCAGGCCTCGGGGTGGGAGTGGCTTGTTCAAGGAACCACCAGGCCTCTCGGGCACTTTGCCCTGTGCTGTGGGGTCACTCAGGCCAAAGGCCTGCCCCTCCTTGCTGGCACACAGGCTCACCCGCACTTCGGCTCCAGCCCCTTCTCTCCCCACACCCTGCTCTCTTCCCTTTTTCCAGCTCCATTGCACCCTTCTGTCTAGCTGGCTGTGTCTTTTACTGGCATCATGCCCCTTCTCTGCCTGACCCTCTCTGGGCTGTCCCTGCCCTGACTCTTCTGTCACTTCCCCAGTTCCTCTCCCTCTGCCTCCTCTCTCCCTCTCTCTCTCTCCACCCACTACCGCTCTATCTTTCTGTCTCTGGCACTATTCCTACTTCATTCCTTTCCTTCTCTTTCCCTATTTTCTCCCTCCCTACATCTCGTTCTCTTTGTGTGTCTCTCTCTAGGTCTCTATCAACCACTCCCTCTTGAGGTTTCTGCTTATATCTTTGTCTCTGGCCTTGTGTCTGTGTGTGTCTCTGTCTCTCTCTTGGCCTGTATAATCTTATTCTCTCTCATTCTCTCTCTCTCTCTCTCTCTCTCTCTCTCTCTCTGTCTATATCTCTCTCTTGATCTCTCTCTAGGTATCTCTAAGTTCAGTTACCTCTCTCTGGGCATCACTCTGTATCTTTCTTCCCAGATGTGTGTCTCTGTCTGTGCATTTCTCCACCTCTGTACCTGGCTCTGCCCCACTGATGTTTCTTTGCTTTTCCCTTTATTTCCACCTTGCTCTCTCCTCCTCCTCGGCCTTGCATGTGCACTGGGTTTCTAGCCCTGCCAAGCCTGATGCCCTCCCTCACAGAACTACCGCCAGCACCTCCACTCGGGCTTCCTCCAGCCCCTATCTTGCCACCCCCAGGAGCCAAGAAAACCAACTTCGGGCCCAGCAGTGGATGGAGAAGCTACACGACCAACTTGAGCTGCAGCACTTCCTCAGAGACTGTCACGAGGTAGGAATTCCAGCTGTGCTAGGCACACTGACTCCTTTCCTAGGGAGGGAAGGGCTCCAGGGCACAGGGGCCGTGGGGGTGGGGACACCCCTCTAAGTGGGTCGCGGAGCGATGTTCATTCCACGCCGCCAGGAGGCGCGCGGAACCGGCCCCAGTGCGCATGCTCTGCACGTCCCCCCCCGCCTACGCGGGCTCCGGGGACAGTGGGACCGGTTCCGGTCGCCCCTGGCAACGGCGCGGGACCGCGCCTACAGGTCCCGCGGGGGCGCGCGCTGGTCTCCTTTCCTCTGGTGATTTGCGAGAAGTGCCCTGCTGGGAAGAGGAGCAGGAGACCGGAGAGGTTTCGGGGCGGGGCGGGGCGTGAGGACTAGTAGCCCAGAGCGCAACCTCGGTCACAGATGGTCCAGAGAAGCAAGCCTTCGCCCCTTTGAAAGTGTCCAGGAATCAAGCTCTGCCCCTTTAGAGATGATGTATACACCTGGAAGGATCGCCCCAAATCAGATCCCTTCCCCATTCAGAAAAGGTTCAGGAGTCATGCTTCTTCCCCCTCCTTCCCCTGCATTCCATAGAAACTATTCTGGATTCTAGCCACATAAGAAATAGCCTATTAGAGACGGCCCAGGAATACCCCTAACCCCCCACAGAGATGGGCCCGGCCTCACTAATCTACCCTACTCCCCGCATGATGATCCAGGACCTACGTCTCCCCCAATCAAGCATGGTTCAGGAACTAGGCCCTGGTCCCCCCCATTAAAGATGGTTTGACTCCTTCCATGGTAACCCCCCATGAGAGGCTTTCGTTCACATTTGAAAGGACAAGGGCTGCCATACCCACAAAGCCCCACATATCTGAAACCTATTAGAGATGGGTGTGGGACTGGAGAAGCCCACTAGAAATGGATCCTGGAACTGCCTGTCCCCATTTTTCCCACTGGAGATTAATGTTCCAGCCCCCTTCCCCGTTCCCATACCCCCTACCCCTGTGGCTGAGGTATCCAGGAGAATGAGCCTCTTCCCATTAGAAATGGTTCAGGAGCACATCCCAACCCCACCCCATACTCCCCACCTTTCACATAGGTAGCCCAGGCTACACATGCCCCCCCACCCCGCCCAGCGCTCCCGCCATTGGACTTGGTCCAGGAACCCCTTCCCTCTCTGGTCGTCAGACTGTTATGGACCAAGTAGCAAACCTCTGAGATGGCGCAGAACCCCCACCCCCACGCCCCAACTGGGGCCTGGCAAGGAGGCAGGCAGGGGGCGCGCGCGCGGGCGGGCGCGGTGCCACGGCGCGGGGGCGGAGGCGCGCGCCCGTCGGAGCCTCAGCTGTCGCCACCGCTGCTGCCGCCGTTGCAGTGGAGTGGCGAGAGCCCGCCCGCTCGCCCGCCGCAGGGACGCCCCGCCAACGCTGCCGCCACTTCAGGTCTCGGGGGCGCCCAAGGTGGGGGGAGGGGGCTGACGCGCGCTCCCGCGGAGGCGGGCGGGGGAGGGGGCTTGGGCGCGCGCTCGCCCTCGGCTGCGGGAGGGAGGGGCTCAGGGGCCGGTCGGCGGGATGCCAGGACCCTAGCCCTGCGGAATTGCAGGGACGCCAGGAGCTGTCCGCGGTGCTGCTGCGGGCGGGACTGAGGGACGGGGTCCCAAGGGACGGAAAAAGGGGGGACTTTTAAGGCTACTCCTGGGGTAGTGGGTATTTGTCCTGGGGGTTAAGAAAGTCTTAACCTCTCTAAGGGGCTCTCCTTTGGGTAATAGGCAATGGGAGATTTGACCTGGGATTGGAAGACTTTCGACCTTTTGGGGGGTTTCCTCCTTGGTTCTTGTGGGATCTGTATTAGCCTTAGATGATTGGGTGAATCACTTTTGCAGGGGTCTGCCTTAGGTGATGAGGGTCTTGGACTTGCTCTGCCTTTGAGAAGCTCTGATTTGGAGGTCTTTCCCCTGATTGTTGGGGACTCTGACTTTGTCCTTGTGGGGGGTCAATTACTTTTGGGGCACTTTACCTTGATGACGGAGTACCAACTATTTTAAGGGCTTTGCCTTCACTGCGAGCTTTGGTTGCCATTGGCGAACTCTTTCCCGTGTGGGGGAACCTGTGAACTGAGTCGGGGGTTTCAGCATGTGACGTGGCTCTAGAGAGTGTGTGTGTGAAGCTATCCTGAACCCCCGGGGAACACATGATGGGGGACACGGAGCAGGGTTTGGCCAGCTGGGGATTTGTCCTTGGCTATGACTGCATTTGCCTCCCGGGACGCTGAGCTAGAGTCCATTTTTTTTTTTTTTCCAAGAGGGAGGAGGATGATCTTGTGACTGAGGGGTGGGGAGGGAAGGGGAGGAGCAACTGTCTCAGGTGCCAGGTTTGGTCCTGAGTGGAGAAGTTGGGGCTGGGGAACAAGTCTTACTTGGGGAACCCAGAAAGCCCTGTGATTAGTCTTGCCCAGGGTAGTGAGAGGGGCCCACTTAGCGTTTGCATTTTGTTGGTGAATGGAGGGGACTAGAACTGGCTTTAGTTTGGGAGGGAGCTGGCTGAGAAGAAGTCTGGGCTTAGCTTTTGGGGTACCTTCATTTGGGGAGCTAGAAAGCAGCCCTGTGGCTTGCATTTGGGGGGTTGGTTTTGGTAGGGGACTAGAAGTGGTCATGGTTTGGGGAGATTGGTCTTGAGCTGGATCCTCTAGCTAAATTTGGGGAGTCCTGTGGGCTCATTAGGGAGGCTAGATCTGGGTTGTGGGCCTACCCCAGATTGGAGGGCTGGTTTGGGGAGAACTAGACTTGGCACCAATTTGAAAATTGTTTAGGGGTTCATCTGCCCATATTGGGGGTTGGGGCTAGGTATGGGGGCTTCACTTGATACCCTGGGGAGTGAGTGGGGGATCTTGCATTGGTCCTTATTGGAGGTGGCTGAGACTGAATAGAAGGATCTGCGTGTTGCTATTGGGGCATTCTGGGGACCCTTCCATCCAACCTCCACTCCCTAGGAAGGAATTTGAGCTTCCCCTTGCTGCCCACCCCCCACAGAAAGGCCTCATTTGCAAAGGTTTTTCATCCCTTCCTCCCCTGCCCCAAACCTAGCAGCCCTGGCCCTGAACCTGGAACACCCTGGAGGGGACAGGGGTAGGGCTGTGCTGGGTTGGGGGAACCGGCTGAGCCCCTCCTCCTGTCCTGCACAGCTGGATGGCTGGATCCATGAGAAGATGCTGATGGCGCGAGATGGCACACGGGAAGACGGCCACAAGCTGCATAAGAGATGGCTCCGGCACCAGGCATTCATGGCAGAGCTGGCTCAGAATAAAGAGTGGCTGGAGAAGATCGAAAGGGTGAGGAAGCAGAAGGCTCTTCAGGTGCCAGAGGCCTCCAGAGAACCCACTTCTCACTGCCAGCCTGCTGCTGTCACGCCTCAGGACTGGTTCAGATCATTTCCACGTCTGCATCTGGCTACGTAGCCTTGTGCAGTCCATGTAACCTCTGAGCCTCGATTGCCTGTTTGTAAAATGGCCAGCTTCTCTCTGAATGGTGCCCACACCTAGCTGTTAAATACATATTTCACCCCTTCCTGTAACCTGCCCAGCAGGCTGCTTCCTTCCACACCATTTGGAGCATTTAAGGTGGAGCATGGAGTAGACAGCCTGGGGCAGCCCAGCTTCCCCAGCTTCCTAGGAACTTTGTGTTGCTACAACCTCGGGTCCTAATTGTGTCTGAGCTTGTGGCCAACTGTGTGGGGGACCTTGGGGAATGGTGTTAACCTCTTTGAGCCTCATTTGGCACTGCTTTAAAATTAAGGAAATAATGAATGTAGCTACCTCCCTGGGCTCTTCTGCACATACAGTGCTTAACCCAAGGCCCGGCACCTTGGAGCTGTGATTGCTCTGGCATTGTTATTTTTAATACGCTCTAGGCCAACATTAATTGGAGTTTGACTTCAGTCTTGGAGGGACCCAAGTCACAACCCCCAAAACTGCCCCCTACTCTGGCTGAACCCCTAGACCTGCAGCCCTGGATACCCCCACTCTTCTGACTCAAACGGAGACACCCAGGTGGGCTTTCAACCTTAAATGGCCACAGATACCCCACAAGTGGTGGCACATGGCAAAGCCACTCCCATTGACTTTAATGGCAGTTCATTCTCTCCCCCCCCATCTCTGTCTCTCTCTCCCCCTTATTGTTTTTATGGTTCTCTTCCCATGTTCCTGAACTCATGTGAATGTCTCTGTGTCTGTCACTCTATGACTCTGTCTCTCCATGTCTCCTTCCCATGTCACTGTGTCTCTCTGCCTCCTTCCTACACTTCTGTCTGCCTGCCTGTCTACCTGTCTCTTTCCTCGTCTCTCTTCCCACTTCTTGGTTCCTTCCATCTCTGTACCTATCTCTGCATCCACCGCTCATGTTTCTGTCTCTGTCTGTCCCCAACTCCTTGCCATGCTCTCTCCCCACATCTCTCCCTCTGTCCTGTTGCCCCCATATTTTTCTGTCCCTCCCCACCATGCACCCCTCCCCCTCACTTCCTGACTCACACTCTTTGGGGCAGGAGGGCCAGCAACTGATGCAGGAGAAGCCGGAGCTGGCGGCCTCGGTGCGGAAGAAGCTGGGTGAGATCCGGCAGTGCTGGGCCGAGCTGGAGAGCACCACCCAGGCCAAGGCCCGGCAGCTCTTTGAGGCCAGCAAGGCCGACCAGCTGGTACAGAGCTTCGCTGAGCTGGACAAGAAGCTCCTTCACATGGAAAGCCAGCTGCAAGACGTGGACCCTGGTGGGGACCTGGCTACTGTCAACAGCCAGCTCAAGAAGCTGCAGGTATGGCCTGGCTGGCCCAGATGGGGGCTTTCTATCCCACAGTGGAGCTTGAGTTGGGATCAGACTTCGCTCGAGGTATTTCGCACGGGGGGGGGATTTATTCCAAATGTGTTAAAAGGCCTGGAAACAGAAAGGGAATACCAGGGCAATCCAGCTAGTAGTAAGTGTTGGAAGCAGCCGCCACCCCTAGGGTAGGGGGTACAAGGGAGAGAGAAGGTTTTAGAGTCCAGAAGCAGTGGGTGAATCACTAGTACACTGGGGGGGTTCACAGGACCCTGACACTGGCTTCCTGGAGAGAAACCAAGGCCCAGAGGGAGGACAATGGCTTTGAACAGAATAGTAATGACATTCATGTAGTGCTTCCTCTACCAGTCTCTGTGCCGGCCCTCACTGACACCTCCCACCAACCGTAAGAGATTGGCGTAATTATTAGCTATCCCCCATTTTATCAGTGGGCACCTGGCCCAGGGACACACAGCTAGCCAGTGTCTCCCTTACCAAACGAGAGGCCCTTAGAGCCTCTCAGAGCCTATGACAGAGCAGCTGGTGGACACTCAGGATCCGACCACGTGATGTAAGTGGTGGGAGGTGCAAATGTAGCTGTTGCATCTTACCTCCCAAGGTGCTGCAGCACCTGCCTTTGCGTGCCAGGAACAATGCCTGACCGTAACCGACGACAAACTGAGGCTCTAGGAGGTGAACTTGCTGGCCCAGGGCAGCAAGTAGCAAAGGCTGAATTCAAACCCAGGTCCCTATTTTTCACACTCCTTGTGGCCCATCTTGTGCATGGTTATGCTTCTGAAGTGCTTGGGATAGGGTCTGGCAGGAAAACAGTTGACTCACAATAAAAGCGTAATGATACTAATTAGCATGCATTCCTTTTATCTATGCAGCAGGTCTTTACTGAGCACCTACTATAAGCTAGGCGCTTTTCTAGGTGCTGGGATACAGCTGTGGGCGACACTTACAGAAATCACTGCCCCCATGGGACTCACGTTCTGGTGGGGGAGGCAGGCAAAGGAACAGAGAGACAAACATCTGAATGTGATTCCAGTGGTGTCATCACTGTATATGCACCGATGGGTCTCAAATGCCTTGGTCTCCTGGACCTCTCTACCTCTCACAAGATGCTGAGGTCCCCAAAGAGCTTTTGTTTGTGTGGAGTATACTTATTTGGTATTTCCTATATTAAAAATTAAAAGAAATATTTAAATTACTGATTCATTTAAGAACAGCAATAATAAACCTATCACTTATTAACCCCAAAACATTCTTTTATGTGGAATAACTATATTTTCCAAGGTAAAAAAAATGTAGTCAGAAGACTGGTATTGTTTGCAATGTTACAACTCTCTTTTGTGTCTGGAATAATAGAATTGCTGGATTCTCACCTGTGCTTCTGTATTCATTCTGCTGTAGAAGCTCACTCAGGTCATGTGGTCCCTGCAAAACCCACTGTACACTTGGGACAGAATGAGAGTGTGGAAGACAAATTATGCTTTAGTGTGTTTTTAATCCTTACCTGAGGATACATTCACTGGCTTGAGGGCGGGGGTGGGAGAGAGAGAGGGAGAAGCATCAACATGAGAAACATCATTTGGTTGGCTCGTATACTTGCCCCAACTGGGGATTGAACCAGGAACCCAGGTATGTCCCCTGACTAGGGATCGAACCTGCATTCTTTTTGTGCACAGGATGATGCTCCAACCAACTAGGCAACCCAGTCAGGGCAAACCGTGGTATTTTTATAAAACAAGTTGTAACCTTTCAGAGGTGTTGAGAGGATCTAGGAGTCCCCAGTACTTCCCAGACAACACTTTGAGAACCACCGATGCACACTCTATTCTAGGCATGGCTACCCCTTTCTCCCTGAGGCCTTATCAGGGAGGGGCTGTCCGTGGCTTGCCCGCGTTCACACAGCCACCAGTGGCCATTCAAGGCCTCATGTGGACAATGTGAAGATTATAAGACATAGTGCATACAGTGGCTTCAAAATTGCTGACCCACCAAATCTAGGGTTCAATATTTGTTTACAGGTTTTTCCATTTTAATTGTCTTCAGCTAGAGGAGACACCATTATACTGTGTTCAGAAGTTATTTGTGTTATTTATTTCTTCACCTTCACTGTGGTTATGTTATTATGTGTAAGAGTGGTTTCACTTGTTTCCATTTGTATACCGTGTTGGCATTTTTTCCATCCACATAGCTTGTTTAAAGTGTATTTTGGGAGGTAATGATATGGAACATTAATATAGTGCCCAAAGTTAAAACTATCTTCTGTTCACTTGATCTTCCCAAATTCCTTGCTCAAGTCCTGATGCTAATTAGAAATTTCTGCTTCCTTCCAGCCTGCCAGTACCTGGTGTTGTCAGACTTTTTATTTGTTTCTTTATTTTTTTAAGATTATTTATTTATTTTTAGAGAGAGGGGAAGGGAAGGAGAAAGAGGGAGAGAAACATCAGTGTGTGGTTGCCTCTCACATGCCCCCTACTGGGGACTTGGCCTGCAACCCAGACATGTGCCCTGCCTGGAAACGGAATGGTTTGCAGGCCAGCCCTCAGTCCACTGAGCCACACCAGCCAGGGCACAGACGTTTTAGATTTGTTCTATTCTCATGGACTGGAAGCATATCTCACTGCGGTGTTTGCATTTGCATTTTTTTTTTCAGGGAACTGGTGAGCTTGGGCATCCTTGTCTCTCTGGCTATTCAGATTTCAGAGGGAGGATTTGGTGCTCCCTGCTCTAGCCAGAGTACAGACAGAGACCCCTCTTCCCTACCCATGGGGGACTTTAGCCCCGCCCAGCCCTGGAGATCACGAGGTGGGGATCTCCATTGTTTAAGGGAGAGACCACGATGGAGTGGGGAGGGGAATGTGGTGTGGGGGACTGGCACTCCAGATCACAGAGCCATGGGCGTTGGTGGCAGGCCCCAGCAGAGGGCCCCAGGCTTTTCTCCAGCAGAGGGAGCCTGAGCCCAAGGCAGGGAGTGTCTCAGTGGCCACTGACCCAGATGGAGCCCAGCTGGGCCTCAAGAGTTGCCTCTGGGGAGGGGAGAGGCCTCCCGAGGCCCCCTGTCCCCTGGAGCCCTCTGGAGAGCCCAGACACTGGGCATATGCAGGAAGCAGGGGGTGGTCCAGCTGGCACACACCTGGCTGCCCCACCCCTCAGGCTGGCTGTGAGGCCAGGCTGAGCTAGGGGAGGTACTGCTTCTGGCTGGAGGGTGGTGGATGTGTGAGTGATCTGTCTCCCCTCTGCCGCTCAGTCCTGCTCCCCCAGTTCTTCTGTGTCTGTTTCTTTTTGTTTCTGTCTCTCCTATCTCAGCCTCTCTCCCTTGATCTCTCTTAGCTCTGTGCCTGCCTCTTGTCCTCCCCATGTCCCTACCCCAGCCGCTGCACCTGGCTTCCTGGGACTCCACCTCCCAGGTTGGGGCCATGTGACGCACGCAGAGTCCTCTCTCAGCACCTCCTGCCCGAATGTCCTTCTGGCTGAGGGGCCAGATGGTGGACTCCCAAGCCCCCACTTTCCCAGTCCTCAGGGGCCTGGCCAGCTGGTCTGGCTCAGCCCAGGCTCCTGCTTGGGGAGGTGGGGGGCAGTGGTCTCTTGCCATCTGAGGGGGATCGGCCAGGGGGAAATGCACTGGAGGCTTTGCAGCTTGGGCTGAGTCCCTGGGAACTCTTCACCACCCCCACACTCAGCAAGTCTCTTCCTCTGGCCAAGGGAACACCCTCCTCCCCTTTTTTCAATTTTTGTGCCACATTTCTTCATCTAGCTCAGCATGGCCAAGTGAAAGAGGCCAGATTCTGGAGCTCCACAATCCCTTCCACTACCGTGTGACCAAGAGCGAGTGACCCCACCTTTCTGAGCCCCCATGTCCCAGTTACAAAGAATCAGAGTGACCGAGAGCCACTAGGATTTTGTGGTCACGTGGTCCTGGGTTCAAATTTTGGCTCTGGCGGTTTTTACTCTGGACCAGGGACTGCCCCACTGTGAGCCTCAGTTTCCCTCTCTGGTACTTGGGAAGGCAGCAAGGTGGGTCTGAGTAGGAATCTGGGTGGCCTGGAGTCAGGGCTGGCTGACCCTGTGGCCAGCACCTGAGGCATTTTTTGGAAGTAGGCTGCTCTGGGTTTTCTTTTTCTCTTCTCTTCTTTCTTTCTAAACTTTAGTGTTTAACAATTTTTTCTTTTAGAAAATTGACATTTAATTCCATACCATAAAGTATACACTTTTGAAGTGAACAATTCAATGGTCTTTAGTGTATTTACACCATCGAGCAGCTCTCATCACTGTCTAATTCCGGAGTGTTTTAGTCATCCCCAAAGAAATCCTGCCCCCTTCAGCTGTGTCTGCCAGTCCACTTCTGTCTCTCCACCTGGGTCTGTTTTGGACACTTCACATAAGTGGAATCATAAATACGTGGTCATTCGTGTCTGGCTTCTTTCACCCAACAATGTTTTCAAAAGCCATCAATGCTGTGGGGTTTATCCGTACTTCATGGCTGACTTTAATGTTTGAAGCTAGTTTAAAATTTTAAATGCTAGCCTTTACTACTGCCCAGCTAAGGGAAACAGAACAGCGGGGAGCCTAGTCCAACGAAGCCAACACACTTTCGGAGACCTGCCCCGTGCAGGCCCCCGGCCAGGCGCTGGGATCTGGCCGAGTGCGCAGAGCAGACGCCTGCTTCCTCGCTGACCTCAGTCGCTGTTGTGGGGATTAGATGAGTTATTCTCAGCAAGCTCTTAGGGCAGTGCCTGCCGTGGAGCAAGCATCAGGATGTGCCACCTTTCTTTGCTGTTATGGTAGGAACTTCAAAGAGAAGGGGGAAAAGGAAACAGGAAAAAGTCTTCCTTCCCCTCCCCACACACAGCATCACCTTCCAGGGATGTAACCACTCTCCACCGTTTCTTCTTTATCTTCCTAGAAATATTCTGTGCTCGCACTCACACACATACCGAAACTTGCCTTTTTGCTTGACCGAATGCCCTCAGCATCCTTTCCTGTTGCAAAATCTGTGGATATACCCTGTCCTTTTAAAGTGTTGTGTGGTATTCCATGGGCTGGTTGGCCGACCAGTTTTTTACCAGCCTTCTCTTGAGAGATCTTTCGGCTATTTAACCAGCTCGCATAAGCAGCGCTGCCACAGACATCTCTGTCTCTGCGTATCTGAGCCCATATGCAAGTGTTTCCGTAGAAAATGGCCCTCAAACTGACCCTTTTGGGACAAAAGGTATATGCATGAAAGGTAGCTATTGACAAATATCCTCCTTCCACATTGCCGTGGAAACACCTGCGACATGACTGAAAGCATCCATCTTCCTGTGGGCCCTGTCGTTGGGTGTTGTCAAACTCTTTCACCTCTGTTCACCTGGGAAGTGACAGATACTGTCTTGTGGTTAGAGTTGCATGTTCTTCAACATTAAAGAAGGCTGAACATCCTCTTGTTGTCTAATGGCCAGTGTGCTTCTGCGTGCCTCGCCCATGTTTGCAGGAAAGGATATACATTGAACGAGTGGTCGAAATCCATGGCATTTTTGTGGAAGCAAGGAGGTGTCAGCGTCTGGAACTATTCTGTCTCTGGTTGAATGGCCACTCGCTTTGTGGAGGGATTTTCATTTAATGGGAACTGGAACTTATAACCTTAACATTTCAGCTTATATTTAATAATTTCCTGAATTCTAATGCACTTTCATTTTCTTAGTAAAAATAGGTTTGTGGTGACTATTTCATTTTGTTTCGATTTCTGTAGCTTATGATAGAGCCTTTTAAAAATTTCCATCTTGGTGGTTTTTGACTTGTTATAGTTAGATTTTTACCCATTTTTATGGCTCCTACAGAATATGAACTGTATCAGCTGAGACTCCTTGGGGGGAGGTTCACAGGGCTTAAACCCATGTTGGCTTAAGCTAAAAAGGGACATTGTTGGCCCAGGGAGTTGAAAGATCCAGGGGGTGTGCAGCTTCCAGCACAGCTGGATCAGTTGCTCAAATTATGGCTGTCCTCCGGAGTCTGTTTCCGTGTCTGCACCCTGCTTCCCTCTGCGTGGCCTCCACGATGGGAGCCTGTTCCCTCACACTGGCAAGATGGCTCCCAGGTCCCCAGGTCTGCATTCTGTCAGCTCAGGCACCTCGTGGGAGAGAGAGCATCCCTTTTCACACTTCTCCAGCAAAAGTGGAGTTTACGTTGGCTGGTTTTAGGTCACATGCCACCTTTACCCACTCCTTGTAGCCACAGCGATTCAGCGTTCTCCTGGGAAGGCCGGAGTTACACGGCCATTCTTGGACCGCTGGATTTCATAAGCTCCTCAGGTAGCCAGAAGCATTTTCATTGACCTAGCTTAGGTCACATGACCATCCCTGACCCAATCCCTGTGGTCAGGGCGACTTTAGTGTCCTAGCTGGCCAAGCTTGGGTCATGTGGCCCCCCTGGCCCTTTAGGTTTTATTAGTTACTCAAGAAGCTCAGGCCTTGAGAGGGATTTGAAGCACTGGAATGGAAGGGACAGATGTCAACCGGGGAAAACCACAGCTCTGCACTAAAGAACCTTGAACAGAAGTCTTGACTTGGTTCTTAAGTTTTGAGTTCTGGCTTGCAGTCTTTTGCCCTAATCTGTTACCACTTAATTTCATTGTTATTTTGTTTTCTTTTCTAGCTTCCCCGGCATCTGTTTAGAATCACACGAGCACTACGTAAATACATTCTTTGAGTAAAAGATCTTACTAACCTAGAAGTCTTCAGTAAAACAAGGCCTCCCTTCAGCCCACTCCCCAGTCTCACACCCCAAAGACAACTTCAGTTGTTATCTGGTGCACACCCTCCTAGGTGTCTTTCTACACATTTACAAATGTACCTATGTGGGTTTTTAATGTTTTTATTTTATTTGTTTTTCATGTTTAATTTATATTTTTGAATGAGTCAATTTCATGCTTCAGACCTCAAAAACCACATAAAAATCCTATGTGAGGTGCCTCTCCTTCATGTCTGTCCCCATTCACTGTGTTCCCTCCCAGGCCCCGGATTGGTGCCAACTGTTATTAGTTTCTTGTCTATTCCAGGGAAGTTTTATGCGTCTGCAATCCACTACAAATACATACCAATATGTATGTTCAAAATTGCTTTTCTTCTTGACAGTAAGTCTTGGCTATTTTCAATTCTGTTAGGGATTTGTTTAGCCATTTTGCGCCTAATGGGGATTGAGGTTGTTTTCAATTTTTTCCCATTGTAAATTCCGCGACCATGAGATCCTCACACAGGCATCTCTGCTATGATGACTATCTTGGGGGAAACACCTCTGTGTATATGTGCCAGTGTTGCTTTAGATGTATTCCTAGAAGTGTTGGGTCAAAGCATTTTGACGGGACCTGCCAAATTGCCTTCCAAAAAAGCTCTGCTCATTTACACCACTGCCGACAGTGGCTGCATGTGTCCATCTCCCTGCATCTTTGCCAACACTAGATATTAATCATCTTTTATGTTTTTGCCAATCTGATAAATAGAAAAGGATACCTTCTTGATTTATTTTTTATCCTCATCTGAGGAAATTTTTTCATTGCTTTTAGAGAGAAAGGAAGAGAGAGAGAGAGAAAAAGATTGATGTGAGAGGGAAGTATCATTCGGTTGCCTCCAGTAAGCACCCCAGCCAGGGATCAAACCCACAACCTAGGCATGTGCCCTGACCAGGAATCGAACCCGCAACCTCTCGGTTATGGGACAACACTCCAACAAACTGAGCCACATCAGCCAGGGAAAGGTTACCTTATTTAATTTGTATTTTCCCGCTTATTAGTGAAACTGGGCATCTTTTAATGGGCTCGTTTTTCTTCTGTGGGTTGCCTGTGCACGTACGACGCCCGTTTGGGCAGTGTTCCCTTGTTAATGACATTCTGTGATTGTTAAAGGAACTAATTCCTTGATCTAATATGTATTAAATATTTTTCCAGATTGCCATTTGCCTTTAACTACATCTAAAAACTTTGGTTAATGTGAAAGTATTTTACGTGGCCAAATTTGTAAATCTTTCCCTTTATGATTTTTATGCCTGGAAAGATTTTCTCCATCTCAGGATTATGAAAGCACTTACCCAGGTTTTCTTCTAGTACCTTATGGACTTACTTATTCCATTTAATCCATCTGGAATTGCTCTCAGCATAAACAGTGAGGAAGAGATCCAGCTAAATTGGCTAGTCAGTTGGCCCATGACCATTTGTTGAATAACCCACCTTTTCCTTGGAGATTTGAGATGGCACCTGTAAAATATGTAAATTCCCCTGTGTATGTGGGTCTGCTTTTGCACTTTGTGCCTGTATCATATCAACCATTGAAATCACTAGAGCTCTGAGTTTATTTTTGCTATTTGGAAAGGTTGTACCTTTGGACAAATGACCTAACTTCTCTGGGCCTCAGATTCCTCCTCTGTACAACAGAGATACCACCAACCGTGAAAGGTTTTTCTGAGAACTAAAAAATTAATGGACTGCTTTAGTCCAAAGGGTCAAGTAAGCCTCCTCTAAGAAAGTAATATTTGAGCTGAGATCTAATTAACAAGGAAGCACATGCTTAGCAAAGGGAACAGCAAATGCAAAGACCTCGAGGCAGGAACTAGCTTAGTGGGTTGCAGGATCAGAGAGGGGTGCAGCACTTCTGGAGGCGATTGAACTGGGGAGAGTGAAGTGGTGGGCCGCGGTGAGGGGTTTGCTGTCACCATAAAGGTACCGGAGAGCCACAGCAGGTTTGGGAGGAGAGGTGAGGCCCACTGACCCTGTCCCTCTTTCCACAGTCGATGGAGTCACAAGTGGAAGAGTGGTACCGCGAGGTGGGAGAGTTGCAGGCGCAGACGGCAGCGCTGCCACTGGAGCCCGCGAGCAAGGAGCTGGTCGGAGAACGGCAGAACGCTGTGGGCGAGCGCCTGGTGCGCCTGCTCGAGCCGTTGCAGGAGCGCCGCCGCCTGCTGCTCGCTTCCAAGGAGCTGCACCAGGTGGCGCACGACCTCGACGACGAGCTGGTGAGGCCCAGAGCGTTGGGCTGGGGCGGGCGGGGAAGTGAGAGCAGAGGCAGGCTGGCTGGCGGAGGGGATGTAGACTAGGAGCAGGGGTGGGGCCATGGGACCTTGGCGGGTTCAAGGGTGGAGCTGGCTAAGAGACCTAAGAGACTCAGTGATTCAGTCCTTCACTTCTTCATTTACTCATGCACTTATTCATTCATTCACTCTTTCGCATTCGTTAACTCATTTTCAATCATTTATTATTTATTGACTCATTCTTTTTTCCTTCCTTCACTCATTCATCTACTTGTTACTCAATTATTCACTCATCACTCCTCCATTCTTTCCTCATTCAATCACGTTCTGATTTGCTCATTCACTCACTCATTTGCGTATTCATTTGATGATTCTGGTCCCAGCTCTGTGCTTAGATGATGCTGGAGTCACAGGGGTGACCAAAGCAGACATCATTCCTGCCCAGAGAGGGCTCAGAATCCAAAGGGGAAGACAGACTCGTCCCCAGATGTGACAAGCCAGTGTGGTTAGGACTGTGATGGGGGAAGTCAGGGAGCTGTGGGAGCCCAGAGGAGACAACTGGTCAAGATCCAGAGTCAGGGCAGGTGTCCTGGAGAAAGGGGTGTCTGAGCTGAGATGTGAAGAGAGAGTACACATGAGCTTGCTGAGGGAGTGGGAAAGGAATGCCAGGAAGCAAAACCTGCCTGTGCAAAGGCCAGAGGTGAGCAAGAGCCTGGCTCTAGTGCAAAGAGCAAGATGGAGCATGTTAGGAGAGGAGGCCAAAGATGTGAGCAGACCTTTAGGCAACGAAGGGTCTTGGATGCTGTGCAGATGACTTACAGTTTGGTTGGGATGCAGCGATCCTGGGATGCATTCCCTGACCTGCTCCCTGTGTCTTCCCCAGGCATGGGTCCAGGAGCGGCTGCCACTGGCCATGCAGATGGAGCGGGGCAGTGGTTTGCAGGCTGTCCAGCAGCACATCAAAAAGAACCAGGTGAGCAGATTCTGGGCGAAGGAGTGGATTAGGATACACTTGCTTTTGAGCGATAGAAATGGCGCAAGGTGCCCTGACCTGTGTGGCTCAGTTGGTTGGACGTCATCCTGCAAAGTGAAAGGTCACCAGTTCGATTCCCAGTCAGGGCACATGCCTGGGTTGCAGGTTCAGTTCCCCGGTTGGGGCATAGGGGAGGCTGCCAATCAATGTTCGTCTCTCACATCGATGTTTCTCTCCCTCTCTTTCTTCCTCCCTTCCCCTCTCTCTAAAAATAAGTTTTTAATCTTTTTCAAAAGAAAATAAAATGGCTCAAGGTGGCTAAAGCCCTAAAGGGGAATTAAGTGGCTCTTGTCATTGAAAAGACAGCTGGAACAGAAGAATTCAGGTGCTTCCATGGTGCCATAAATCACTCAGCTTCAGCTCCATTGTTTGTTTGTTTTTTCTGCATTAGATCTGTTCTCGGGCCAACTCTCCTCTCCTGGCAGTAAAAGACCTCCAACAGTTTCAAGTTTACATCCCACCAGCAAAACTAAAGAGAATATGTCTCTTTAAAATGATGCCAGTCTTACTAATCTGCAATTGTTTCAAGAATAACTTATTCTTGAATGATAATTATTGAATAATGATTATTGAATAACTAATATTGAATAGTTATTGAGTAACTAGTGACTCAACTTGAGTCACATGTCCACCCCTGAGCTGATCGGGGTAGCCAGGAATTTAGACTGCTCTGATTGGCCTGGTCCCAGCTAAGGGCCCACCCTGGGAACAGCAGGTGGAGTCAGCCTCAACTTAATTACCTGCCATGAGAGGGAGGCAAGGAGGCTCCCCAAAAGAAAGTCAGAGTCCCTTGACTAGAATTAAGGTGAATGGCTATTGGGTCATGAAAAATAAAAACAACAACAAACAAATAAAATCTCAAAACTCCCACTGAGGGAGAGAACAGAGAGGGTCAGCAAGAGAGCTGACTCCTAAGCTAAGCACCATGGGGGCTTTTGAGCCTCTGAAATCGCTGGGTCGCTGTTCTGCTCTCTGTGCCTCAGTTTCCATGTCTAAACAGTAGAGAGTTGGCCTAGATCACAGGTGGCAAACACAAGGCCCTCGGGCCGAATCCGGCCCTCTGCCTTGTTTTATTCCACCCAGTACCTTGTTTCTACCCAGTGGCAGCACCGAGCTCCTTGCCCCTAGTTAAGGAGCAGTTACATTTATACAGACCTAAAATCACATTCAGCCCTTTGAAAGCAACCTCGAGGCTGAGGTGGCCCCCAGTGAAAATGAGTCTGATACCCTAGCCTGGAGCAGTGGTTCTCCAGCTGCCTAGACAAGAAACCTTTTGGTCACAGCACCTCTCTTGCCAAAGCTCAAAGTAAGGCACACAAAAGAGGAATAACAACAGTAATACTAGAAAATACATTAGTCAAAGATGATGTGCCAAGTACTGTCCTGGGGGGGTCATGTTGGTTATTTCATTGAATTCCCACAATAACCCTATGAGGTAAGTCAGCCCTTTTTACAGCAGAAGAGGTGTGAGAACGGGGCTCTGAGGGGCGGTGGGGAGGTGGGCACACAAGCTGTTCTGAAGTGTCCGTGACCGAGCTGCCCTGTATGGAGCTCTTTAAGAGGCTGGAGTTTTTCTCAGAATCTGTTTTTCCATCTTGATGAAATTACTGTTGGCTGTGGCCAGTGTGGGGACAAACAAAGCTGGCTCATCACTTTCACGGTTGAGGGAAACGATCAAGTGCACTTCATGCTTAAAATCAGAGGAGCGCAGCCAGAGGCGGGAGCGCGGATCCAGGGGCTGTTAAAAGACCAGTCGCTGCTGGTGTTGACTGAGCACCTACTGTGTGCCAGGCACAACCCCAAGTGCATGGTGGTACAACACCTCCACGGGGTAGATGTCTGCGGGCTGCCACTAGCCACGTAACTTTGGCAAGCTCCTCAACCTCTTTGGGCCTCGGTTTCCTCATCTGTAAAGTGAGAATGGAGATGTCCGGCTCCTGGGGTTGGAGTGAAGGCTACATGAGTGGCTACATTATGCAAAGCCCTTACTTAGCAAAGTGCCTGGCAGGTAGTAGGTATTCAATAAGTGTTGATTATCATTATCTTCATTTGCCAGTTGAGGAAACTGAGGCACAGGAGAGGTTAAGTAAGGTACTCAGCAAGTACAGAGCTGGCTGAGGGAAACTTCTGTGATGATGGAAGTGTTCCATATTCTGATCTGGATACACGGGGTTACCCCTAAGATTTATGCGCTTTGCTGTGTATAATTTATATCCCAATTGCCCCTAAACAGCCTGAGTCTCAGGCCTGTATTTCAACCGTTAGGGAGGATCTTGTGTCACCAGGCATCTTGGTTCGGAGTCTCTGAAGCCAGCCTCCTGTTTTCAAATCCTGTCACCCCCTTACTAGCTGGTCCTTCTCAGGGCGACGTACTTCGCCTCTCTGTGCCTGTTTTCCCACCTGCCACACGGGGTACCAGTGAGCGATCGAGTGAATAACGACAAATGCTTACGTGGGACCTGGCATTGGCGGGCGAATGTGCCGGTGTTTGCCCCTTTCTCTTGAGATGTGCCAGTCACTGAGGCCCATGCGGTCTTGCCGTGCCTCCGAACACCCTTCTTCATGCACACCCCCACCTTCCGTCCCCAGGGCCTGAGGCGGGAGATCCAGGCGCACGGGCCGCGCTTGGAGGAGGTGCTGGAGCGCGCGGGCGCGCTGGCGGCGCTGCGCAGTCCAGAGGCGGAGGCCGTGCGCCGCGGCCAGGAGCAGCTGCAGAGCGCCTGGGTGGGACTGCGCGAGGCGGCTGAGCGGCGGCAGCAGGTGCTGGACGCCGCCTTCCAGGTGGAGCAGTACTACTTCGACATGGCTGAGGTGGAAGCATGGCTGGGCGAGCAGGAGGTGCTCATGATGAGTGAGGACAAGGGCAAGGTGCGCCCGGGCTGGGGGTGCAGGGGTCTGGAAGAGCTGGAGCTCTGGGTGGGTCTCTGCTGCCTCATCGCGGGCGCTGTGTGCCCCCAGGACGAACAGAGCACCCTGCAGTTGCTCAAGAAGCACCTGCAGCTGGAGCAGGGCGTGGAGAACTATGAGGAAAGCATCGCGCAGCTGTCGCGCCAGTGTCGGGCGCTGCTGGAGATGGGGCACCCGGACAGGTGGGCGGGCAGGGGGGAGGGGACTCAGGGTGGAGAGGGGGGCAGGGCCCGTTTTTAAGGAATGGTCCTGCAGGATCTGAAGCTTCGCTGTTGGAAACTGGGACAGGGCCGGTATTGGCCATTGGATTGGGAGGGGCCCTCACTGCCACGTGCTGGAGCCCTCATTTTCACATGCTGTATTTTGGCAAGTGTTTGGGGCCGGAATGGAGGGGCACTGCCCAAGGATGGTTGAAAGGGTAGAGCCAGGTGAACTGGGATTTGAGCATAGGGGGCAGTAGAGGGGGATGTCTAGGACTGAGGAGAGAAGTAAGAGATCAGGACAGGGGAGGGTCCTCTTCCCACCAGTGTCTGAGCTGTGTCTGGGAGGACGGAAAGCCTGCAGCGCTGTGAGTGGGCGTGGCCTGAGATTTCCTAGGTGGTGGGTGTTGGCCGCCCTGCGGTCAGGAGCAGGAGCCACATCTAGGAAGCCTGAACCAGGGTCGAGATCTGAGAGGGGGCACAGTGCCAGACCTCCATCCACTCGAACCTGGAGATTGGAACTGGAGGTGAGACTGATTAGCTGTGGACCCTAGCAGGGGTCAGAAGCCCCAGCCAAGTCACTGGGAAGGAGGGGCATGGGACCACAGATAGAAAGGCTGCCAGGAGAGGGGTGGTGAGCTTATCAAGCTACTGGAAGCAGAGTTTTCCCTGAGTGCTGATATCCAAGTCCCGGGTCGACTTAGCCCAAGGACTGCAGAAAGCCGAGCCCTGCACCGGGATCCCACCCTGCCTGCAGGTTAAAAGGAGACACAGCCATGCCCTGAGAGGGGGTGTCAGGGGGCCCCAGTTCTGTCCTTTAAGTCTCAGGGGCTCCATCTCTGCCCCTCCCTGTCCCCCCACCCCCACCCAGTGAGCAGATCAGCCGGCGGCAGTCTCAGGTGGACCGCTTGTACGTGGCACTCAAAGAGCTGGGCGAGGAGCGCAGGGTGAGCCTGGAGCAGCAGTACTGGCTGTACCAGCTCAGCCGCCAGGTGGACGAGCTGGAGCACTGGATTGCAGAGAAGGAGGTGGTGGCCGGCTCACCTGAGCTTGGCCAGGACTTTGAGCATGTCACGGTTAGTAATAACAATAATACCAGTGGCTACTGTACACGCTACTGAGGTTCTCTGGGCCTCAGTTTCCCCAACTGTAATATGAGGATAATAATAGCACTTACCTCATGGCTCTGTTGTAAGCTAAATGAATTAATATACAGCAGTTCCCCTTACCCACAGTGGGTATGTTCCACAATCCCAGGGGATGCCCGAAACCATGGATGGTACCAAACCCTGCATGTACTATTATTACTCCTATACGTACATACCTTTTTCCCTAAGGAAGCACTGTACGGCTTCTCTGTGGCATCTCCAAATTGCCAGCAGTACTCCTCATGAGCTTTGGGGCCACTGCTAAGTGAGGCTTACTTGAACACAGGCACTGCGATGGTGCAACAGCTGATTTGACGTCCTAGACAGCTACTAAGTGGCCACACATCATGGAGAGACTGGACAAAGGGATGATTGATGTCCAGGGTGGGACGGAATGGGTGGAGTGAGATTTGGTTACACTACTCAGAATGACCCACAATTTAAAATGTATGAATTGTTTGTTTCTGGAGTTTTTCATTTAATATTTTTGGACCAGAGTTTACTGCAGGTAACTAAAACCGCAGAAAGCGAAACCCCAGATAAAGGGGAGCAACTGTAATTTCAGGCACGTTTGAAAGTACTCGGCACACATAGTAATGCCCAACACAGTACGCGTTAGTTGTTATTATTATCGCATTATTCTTTTTATTATTGTTGTTACTGTTATTGCTACAGCATTAAGAGTTAGAGGTTGCTTTTTAAAAACTATGGTTGTCATTATTACTATTCCTACTCCTACCTGCCACAAGGTGGTGGGCCCAAGGGGCCTTTGCTCATGTTGTGCCCCCCCTCCTGGTGGCAGGTGCTGCAGGAGAAATTCTCCGAGTTTGCCAATGAGACCAGCACTGCAGGGCGGGAGCGACTGGCGGCCGTGAACCAGATGGTGGACGAGCTGATTGAGTGTGGTCACACAGCTGCGGCCACCATGGCCGAGTGGAAGGACGGGCTGAACGAGGCCTGGGCCGAGCTGCTGGAGCTCATGGGCACGCGGGCCCAGCTGCTGGCAGCCTCTCGGGAACTGCATAAGTTCTTCAGTGACGCCAGGGAGCTTCAGGGACAGATTGAAGAGAAGCGGAGGCGGCTGCCCCGCCTGACTGCTCCGCCTGAGCCGAGACCCAGTGCCAGCTCCATGCAGCGGACTCTGAGAGCCTTTGAGCATGACCTACAGCTCCTCGTGTCCCAGGTGGGGTGCCCATGGCCAGGAGGGAAGGTGGGAGGACCTGGGCAGCGTGGCTAGGGGGTGTGGGCAGCAGAGCAGACAAAAATCAGGCTGTAGGGCATGTCAAAATTAGATGGTGAGACAGATAGAAAACAGACCATGGAACAGGGAGAAGTTAGATGATGGGGCAGGTGGACAGTAGACTGACTGTGTGGTGCACAGAAATCAGACAGAGGCAGAAAAAAGTTGTGCAGTATGGCTGAAAGAAATCAGATAGTATTTTCACCACAGGTTGGACAGGGGTTGTCCTGAGAACTGCAAAGTGAATCTTACCCAAAGTCAGGTAGTCAGTCTGAAAGGAACTGTGGGAGGGTTGAGAGAGATTTGGCTTTGGGGCAGATAAAAATTAGACAATGGGGTCTCAGATAGAAATCGTATGATTTTCCTCAAAAAATTCTGATGGGGCTGAATTCATGGAAACTGTCCTGGAGCTGATGGGATTCAGGCAGTGGATCTGACCGGAACTGGGAGGTGGAGCTGAGAAGAGAGATGGAGATGAAGCTGTGGACCCAACAGAGCTCGGATGGCTGGGCTGAAGAATGTGGGTTGCAGGCGTGATGGAGGGCATGCAGTGGGTGCTTATTTTATGTAAACCATACAGATCACTGGTAGAAAGCAGGCAGAGAGGTTGACAGATTTAGTGGTGGAGCTGACAGAAATGTGGCAGTCACTCCCAGGCTGAACCAACAGAGAGTGAGCAGTGGCTCCAACAGAACTCACACAGCAGCACCAGCGGAGATTGGGTGGGAGACCCGAGAGTAATCAGATAGCCGTCCTGAAGGGAACCGGGCAGAGTAGATAGGCAGTGGTCTGAAAAAGAAAAAGAAAAATAACTGGACGGCATGCCTCACAAACAGCGGGGTGGAAAGAGGGTTCTTGAGAGAAGTCAGATCGGTATGAAATGAGACGGAAGTGGGCCTGAAAAAGTGGGGCGACAGACCTGGTAGACACGGAGCCTCAAATTAAAAGCAATCAGGGAGTGGACGAAAATAAATCTGGTGGTAGCTCTAAAGGAAGTCAGAATGTGGGTAAGTCAAAGAAGAAGCAGGCAGCGGAGAAGGGAAACCCACTGTGGGATCAGCAGGGTGCGGGCTTCTTGCGGTGTTAAGCTCTGTACCCAGCCAGTAGGTGGGCGAAAGAGAGGGCAGAGCCTGGACCCCACGGAGGGCTGGTGCTTGACCTGGCCCTGGCGTGCCCCTCAGGTGCGGCAGCTGCAGGAGGGGGCAGCACAGCTGCGGACAGTGTATGCAGGGGAGCACGCGGAGGCCATCGCCAGCCGGGAGCAGGAGGTGATGCAGGGCTGGAAGGAGCTGCTGGCAGCCTGCGAGGACGCCCGCCTGCACGTCAGCTCCACGGCCGACGCCCTGCGGTTCCACAGCCAGGCCCGGGACCTGCTCTCCTGGATGGATGGCATCTCTGGGCAGATTGGGGCAGCTGACAAGCCCAGGTGCTCCTCATCCCACCTCAGGCTTCCTACCTGCCTCTGGGCAGCTACCCCCTGCCCGTCGGCAGTCCTGTTCCCATAAGAATCACAATAGCCAATACCTGCATGACACCTCTGTGTGCCAGGCACTGTTATAAATGCTTCATGTGTATTAAGACCCCTTGTCAGGCTTGGTATTGGGGGCTCAGAGCACAGGGCATACACTTGTCTTCTGTCCTTCCCACTTGCCCACTACTGTCCCCACTGTGGGGTGGCATGGCATGGGATGGGTTGCAGCCAGGATAGGGACAGGGAGGTGTGGCACCGTATGTGGGGCCTAACCTATTAGACATTGACTTGCTGTTACATAACAGTTCACGCGGGTGTCCGGCAGAAGCCTGAACCACAGTGCCTGGGAGCCAGGTCCTTCCATCACTCTGCCCTGTCAGTCATTGACGAGACCCTCCCTCAGATAAGGAAGGTCATGTGGGAGGCTTGAGGAATTTAGCCTGCACTCACATAGCACTGTTTCTGTGGCTGTGAGGCCTTGAGTCTACGTTAATTTCCTCAGTAAATATTTATTGAATGCCTACTGTGCACCAAGCCCCTGCCCCAATGCAGCTTAGTCTGTGGGTGGAGACAGGAAACAGATAAGTAAACAAACGTCTAATATTATTTCAGATAGTAATAAGTGCTCTGAAGAAAAATAAAGCAAGGTAAGGGGACGAGGTGCTAGCTGGCAAGGCCTCTCTGAGGATGTCAAGTTTGAGACCTCAGTGAAGTGATGGTGAGTTGGGTGAAGTTTGGGGAAAAGGGTTTTCCAGGTGGAGGGATCAGCAAGCCCACAGGCCCGAGGTAGGTTGTGGTTAGGCGTGTTCGAGGAGAGCTGGACGATCTTGCTGTGGCTGGCTGGAAGGAGTGAGGGGGAGAGTGGAGAGGCAGGAAATGCAGTCCGAGAGGGAATAGGGTGTGGTGAGGAGTTTGCTTTTTCTCCAGGTGAGACAGGAGCCATGGGAGGGTCTAGAGCAGGGGGGTGATGGGCTCTGATGTACATTTGAGAAAAATCACTGTAGGTGCCTTGTAAGAGAGTGTGGAAGGCAAGGATGGAAGCAGGTAGACCAGTCAGGAGGCTGCTGTGATAAGCCAGGTGAGACATGATGGTGGTTTGATCCAGTGTGGTGGCTGTAGAGATGGACGGAAGTGACTAGTTTTAGGAATTTACAGTCCTTTTATTATGAAAAATTTCAAATGTGCACAGAAGTAGCCGCAATGGTATGGTGAACCCACATGTGTATAGTGAGGGTCTGGCCTGAACAATCTGGTCCATCTTGGTTCATCTGCACACCCCCGCCCCTACCACTTGCTGAGCTGTTTCTCAGTGAATCTCAGGTGTCCTATCATATCACAAGGTATGCTTTCAAATGATAAATGTCCAGTTTTGAGTGATGGGTTGGCTTCAGGGGCTGAGGGAGAAGGAGTCCTGGATAAGTGATGGGTGAACTTACTGAGGCAGAGGGTTCCGGAGGAGAATCAGATCATTCCAAATGATCTTAGTCTTAGGAAGGAATCATTACAATGTGAAACCTTGGAAATGAGTTCGGACATTTTAAGTCTTATAAAGCTGTACCTGCTGCCTGGTGGAACACTCAGAAATCTGACATTTGTTCTGGACACGTGACAGCAGACAGCGGTGCTGTCCTGGAGTCACACAGTGCAAGCCGCTGTATGCGAGCCCCACATACAATTTAAGACTTTCTTGTAACCACATTCAAAAAGTTGAAAGAGGAAAGTAAAATTAACTTCAGTGACTGTAATCTACTTTATTTAACCTAGTATACCCAAAATATTATCAGTTTTAACATGTAATCAATATTAAAATTATTGAAATATTTGATGCTTTTTTATATGAAATCTTTAAAATATGGTGTGTACTTTATACTTTAGCACATCTCAGTTCAAACTAGCCACATTTCTGGTATTCATTTGCCACAATGACTAGTGGCTACCATACCGGACAGCACAGGCTTAGAAGGTTAGAATCACCCAGCGAGAGGAATCTTCAGGAGCGTAGCTTTAGAAAATTGAAAAACCGGGTCTTGAAATCCTAGCTATGATTCACAAAGTGTGACATTGTAGTCCCCTGGGAAAAGTTGGAATCACTGCGTCAGTGGGGAACCTCGGATTCTCAGAACTTGTTCGTAGGGGGTGGGAGTCTGCAGATGGTGTGGCACTGTGGCCGCAGAGATTCGGGCTCCTCTAGAGCTGTCCGTATGGGGAGGGGTGAGGGAAGCTGCCTGTGGCTCAGACCCCCACCACTGCCCACTGCAGGGATGTGTCGTCGGTGGAGGTGCTCATGAACTACCACCAGGGCCTGAAGACCGAGCTGGAGGCACGGGCGCCTGAGCTAACGGCCTGCCAGGAGCTGGGCCGCTCTCTGCTGCTCAACAAGAGTGCCATGGCTGACGAGGTGGGGAGGGGTGCAGGGGGTGCCCCTCTGCCATCCATGTCCACTGGGGTGGGAGCCACCCTGATTCCTCTCCTGCCCACCCACCACTCTCAGATCCAGGCCCAGCTGGACAAGCTGGAAACCAGGAAGGAGGAGGTGTCGGACAAGTGGGACCGCCACTGGGAGTGGCTGCAGCAGAGTGAGTGGGGCCCATACACGTGGCTCAAGGGCACGGGGACCTTCTATAGTGTGTTTAGAAAGGCCCAGAGGGTGGGTGACACAGGCACATTTTGCACATCACTCATGGGTCCCCAGCAGCAATCATGAAAGCCTGGTGGGGAGGACAAGGGGGCAGCCTCACCATTGAAGCAGATTTTTCGAGAAGCTGGTGTCCTCTGAAGTAGCCCCAGCCTCCCATTCCTACAGAGCTCAGAGTGGTCCAGGCTGGCCTAGAGGAAACTGGGGCAGGGGGAGGGGTGTGGAAGGCCAGAGGAGACAGCCACTGCCCCACGAAGGGCCAACAGGTGTCCCAGCACCTTTACCCTCTGCATGTCTCCCCTCAGTGCTGGAGGTGCACCAATTTGCCCAGGAGGCGGTGGTGGCAGATGCGTGGCTGACAGCGCAAGAGCCACTCCTGCAGAGCCGGGAGCTGGGCAGCAGTGTGGACGAGGTGGAGCAACTTATCCGGCGCCACGAGGCCTTCCGCAAAGCAGCTGCAGCCTGGGAAGAAAGATTCAGCTCTCTACGGCGCCTGACCACGGTCAGCCCTGACCCCCACACCCACATCATCTATATAAGACAGAAACACTGGGACTTGGTGCTCAGGGTTGTGTCAAGTGAGGCTGAGACAGATCCTCACTGGGCTCCCAGTCTGGGGGTGGGGGGCGGGGAGTTGGGGGTGGACAGACCTGTCACCAGACAGTGACAGCCCCGGGCTGGGGTGGGGAAGCACAGGGGCTGTGGGATTCTAGAAGCACTTGGTCTGGCCTGGGAGAGTGTCATCTGAGACTTAAAGAATGAGGAGAGACCACTGTAGTCAAGAGTCTTCAGGTCCTGGGAGGAGGCCATTAAGGAAAGAGGCAATGGAGGTCAGAAAGGCACCTAGAGAAAGTGATGCTTTAGCTGATTCTTAAAAGAACAGTAGGTGTTTGCTGAAGAAAACAGGAATTAAGTTCCTAGCAGAGGTCAAAGCATGGGTGCAGGCCTGGACAAGCTTGTTTTTTCACCAATGAAGCTAATAGCCTGGGTGGTGAGGCAGACAACCCAGAGTTGCCTCCCCCCACCCCCCACGCCCCTCTACCTGACCGTGGCCCCTCCGTCCCCAGATCGAAAAAATCAAGGCAGAACAGAGCAAGCAGCCGCCCACTCCTCTGCTGGGGCGCAAGTTCTTTGGGGACCCCACAGAACTGGCAGCTAAAGCGGCACCCCTGCTGCGGCCAGGGGGCTACGAGAGGGGCTTGGAGCCCCTGGCCCGCCGGGCCTCGGATGCGTTGTCTGCCGAGGTGCGGACCCGGGTGGGGTACGTGCGCCAGGAACTCAAGCCTGAGCGCCTCCAGCCGCGCATCGACCGGCTGCCGGAGGTCCCAGGGAGGGTTGAGCCCGTGGCCCCACCAACCGCACCAGAGAACGTGGTGGAGACCCCCGGGACCCCCGTGGTAGCAGAACAGGTCCGGCCGCGGCCAGAGCGCCAAGAGTCTGCTGATCGCGCGGAGGAATTGCCCAGGAGGCGGAGGCCAGAGCGGCAGGAATCAGCAGATCAACCCGAAGAGGCCGCACGGAGGCGGAGGTCGGAGCGGCAGGAGTCACTGGAGCACGAGGGGGTACACAGCCTTACCCTGGGCCGCTACGAGCAGATGGAGCGGCGGCGCGAGCGGCGTGAACGGAGGTTGGAGCGGCAGGAGTCCAGTGAACAGGAGACACCCGCCAGAGGAGAGCTGGCCAGAGGGTGAGGCCTCATTAGTCCAGGGAGTGAGGGTGGGGAGATAAGAGAGAGGTCCTGGAGCCAACAGGCAGAGTGGAGAGGGCTTCGGTCCCCCGAACTATCTACGAAGGGAGAGAGTCCTGGTACCCATTTTGCAGAGAGGTAAACTGAGCCTGAAAGAGGGTAGATGACCTGCCTGCTCTCTGACAGTAGCGCAGTTCTAAGCTTTGAAAGGACACAGTTAGCTGGAGTATGTTGTGCACATCAATCCAATCAGCTGTGTATCCAGAAAGAAGTATTTGGGTCAAACACATTTCAGTGACAATGACTTCTTGACCCCTTTTAAAATTTCGTATTTCATGAACGTTTGCTGAGTGCCTCCCATGTGTGTGCCATGTGCTGTGGAGAGCACCGAGGGAGCCAGCCGCAGCCCTGCCTTCATGGGCTCACAGTCCAGCAGGGGAAACACACTTGTCATCAGACAGTGGTGACCCAGAATGATCAGAGCTGGAATGGGGGAAGTCCAGTGGACTTGGAAGCTCAAGGGTGGGTGGGGAAAAGGCCACGGTGTGTTCAAAGGCTTGAAGGCACCAGTTTGCATTTTGTTCTTCCTGTTGCTTAAAACTCAAAAGGGAGAGAGGTTCCATCCTCCAATCAGCAGCCACGGCCTGAGCACCTGCGGTAAGGCCAACATCTGAGAGGCAGCTGTAGAAGTGGGCAAGGGCCAGGTTGGTCCCTTAGAGGAGGCACCCCAGTTCCATAGGGTCTTTCTGCCCCCATCACCAGGAAAGCCACCCTGGCTGACATTGTGGAGCAGCTGCAGGAGAAAGAGGCAGGCCCAGGGCTCCCTGTTGGGGTAAGTTGAGCCTAGGGATGGGTGGGGAATGGAGAACTCTGCAGTGCAGTCACCTGGATCCCAGAAACACCAGTGTCCAACCCTGGGTAACCCCCTCCAGATGAACCCTGCAGAGAGGCTCTCCAGGGATGGTGAGGTTCTCCAGATGACTCCCCATATTTTCTCGCTTAGAAAGATGAGGCCACCGACCTTAGAGACTCCTCCCTCCTCCTACACACACACACACACACACTCCCTCTCTCCCTCCCTCTCTCCAGAGTCTTCCCGCATCTGCTCTGGACTCTTTCTCCATTCCAGTGGGAGAATCTCAAATTTCCTTACAGACAGCCACACACAGAGAAGAAAGCCCAGATTCCTCCTACAGACAGCTGGGGCAGCCACGTGCCAGCTTCCCACCTTCACGACCCCTCCTCCCCAAGATCAAGAGGGATTCCACGCCTACTGGTGGCCCTCAGGTCCTCCCATACTCGCCCCCAAGACAGAATGGCCCTGCAGACAGATGGGACCCCCAGACTCACGAATTCCCCCATGGCCCACACCCGACTTTGTACAGCACCCCTCTTCCCCCTCCCTCAACACAGACGTCGCTGCCTCAGCCTCGAGAGCTACCCCCCGGCCGCCTGCCCAACGGGCTTGAGCCTCCCGAACGGACACCTCGGCCGGACCGGCCGCGGGCGCGGGACCGGCCCAAGCCCCGACGACGGCCGCGGCCCCGCGAAGGCGGTGAAGGCGGGGGAAGCCGGCGCTCGCGCTCAGCCCCGGCCCAGGGCGGCTCCGCCCCCGCGCCTCCGCCACCACCCACCCACACTGTGCAGCACGAGGGCTTCCTGCTGCGCAAGCGTGAGCTCGACGCTAACCGCAAGTCGTCCAATCGGTGAGCATGTGGGCGCGGCTTTAGAAGGCCCGTTCCAAGCTCAGGATGTCCAGTAATTGAATAGGTGGGAGTGAGAAGGGCGTACAACCGGCGGCGGTGTGGGCGGGACCTGAAGGGAGCGGGGCCTTGTTTTAAGTAATCAAGCAATAAGCAGGAGGAGTGGGGCTTGAAGCTAGTGTGGCCAATGGGTGAGCGGGTGGAGCCTAGGTGAGGGCGGGACCTGAAGAAATATTCCTAAAGTGAATAAATTGCGACCCAATATGATAGAAACAAACCCAGGAGTTAGTTAAAGCTAATAGCAAAGCGGATGTGGGGTCTAGTCTAGAGGATTTCAATGTCTCATGAAGTAAAGCCGGGAGAGGTCCATCCAACCAATTAATGGGGTGGGTCCACACGTGAAGTTTTAAATTGGGGGAAAATCTGAGAAGGTGTGGAGACCAAACTCTGAGGGCTGAGGACATCTCATATCGATATCCAAAAGAGGGCTTAACGGTGGTGTATTTACGCTTGGAGTCTAACTCCTGATTGCCCAGCCCTTTTTGTCCAGCTGGGAGGCGGAAGCTGGGAAGTGGTGAAGCCAAAAAGGGTAGCAGCGCTGTCCAATGAGCAGAGTGAAGCCTAGATCCACGGCATGAAATGGGCAAAACAGACTGAGATTGCCTGTGGGGTCTCAGGTAGTCTTTCTTTTTTTTGTGTGCTGAGGCCAAGATAGAAATAACCAGGGGTACTTCCTCCTCCCTCTTTGGGGCTTTGGCTGAATGAGGAGATGAATTCTTCATTCCATGCAGTAGACCAATAAGCTTCCCAATAAGCTTCATGCTCTCACACTGAATTCCCAATTCAGTGTGAGAGCATATTAGGAAGGGCAACCCCAGCAGAGCCAGCCCGGGCAAAGACTGGGTACTGAGAGATTTCGGCCCTGCCCTCAGCTCAGGAACACCCAAGGCATATAGCCCCTGTAGAGCAAAGGCCTGAGGGAGGAAGCCTCTGACAGATTCAGCCCATGAAAGATATTGATGAAGAGGACCCAGGCAGAGTGCTGCAGCCCTGCCTTGAGCCCTGTCTCATTGTTCCAGGTCGTGGGTGAGCCTGTACTGCGTACTCAGCAAGGGGGAGCTGGGCTTCTACAAGGACGCCAAAGGCCCGGCATCTGGGGGCACTCATGGTGGGGAGCCACTGCTCAGCCTGCACAAGGCCACCAGCGAGGTGGCTAGTGACTACAAGAAAAAGAAGCACGTCTTCAAGCTTCAGTGAGACTCCCAATGGGCCAGAGGGAGGGATCCAAGCCCCAACTGTCCCCTCCCAGCAATCCTCTACTCCCTTAGAAAAACAGTTGGTGGAAGGACAGGCCAAGCCCCTACCCCAGATCCCCCAAGTCCTGTGTCCCCCTCCTACAGGACCCAGGATGGCAGCGAGTTTTTGCTCCAGGCTAAAGATGAGGTAAGATCTGGTTCTTTCCCTACGTTATTTGGACCTCATGGACCACCCGACTGGCTGGTTGCTGCCCCAGAGTGATGGGGCTGTGAGGGGGAAGCACGAACTAGAGTTACCAGGGCTGTAATGGGAAAGCCCACAGGCAGAGAAAGCCCAAAAGAAGTTCCTAACCTAGCTGGGGGAGCAATCAGTGAGTAAGGGGATAAGGGGTAGATCAGGAGGCCTGCCTGGAGTTCCCAGGACAAAGTCCAACCTCCTTGCCTCTGCCTGTGAGGTGAGGTTAGGAAGATAAGAGAGGGGAAATTCGCTATAAGTAGATAGATAGATAGATAGATAGATAGATAGATAGATAGATAAATGGAGGAGGCTGATGGGGTTGATACAGGCAGATGGAACAGTAAGTGCAAAGAACTAGAGGTGCAGAATTGCAAAGCATTAACTATGCTTGAGGAGAGTTCAAGGAGAGGTTTGCAGGGGCTGGATCTCATGGTCCAGAGGAGGTTGGGTTTGCCCCAAGGTCACTGGGAGGCCATGGCTGAGTATTGAGCAAGGGAGGGTTACTGAGATATGTAAGAAAGATCCCTTTGACTACCACGTGCAGGGTAGATTGGAGAGAGCAAGAGTGGGAGTGTGAACCCTGGAGGTGGCCAGGGCAAGGGACTCAAGTGAGAGAGCACAGGCTAAACCTTGGCAGTCCTGTGTCAAGGGGAGGAGGAGGTGAGTGAGAAAGACAGGAATGTGAGTGGACCTTGGGACTAGGGACCTTGGGTCTAGGGACCTTGGGAAAAGGACAGAGGAGGAGGAGCAGGCATGGAGGTGGTTAGATTTTTAAAATAGTAACTTTTTACTTCATTCATTCTCATAAGAGGTTATGAAATAGGTCTTTACTCACTCCATGACTCCTTTATTTATCTTGAAAATGGAGATAAAATAGTTTCTCATCATAGGGTTAGTGTGAGAATTAAACAAGTTGAAACATGTAGAGTACTACTTACAGGGCCTAGTAAGTGCTCTCTCTGTCTGTTTCTGCCGATATTATTCGGCCTCCTCTCGTACGAATACCGACTCTGTGCTCTGTTTCCTATCTTCAGGAGGAGATGAACGGCTGGCTGGAGGCTGTAGCCGCCTCGGTGGCGGAACACGCGGAGATCGCCCGCTGGGGACAGACACTACCCACTACCTCGTCTACAGACGAGGGCAACCCCAAGCGGGAGACAGGGGAACGCAGGGCCAGTGGGCGCCGGAAGTGACTTCACACCCCCAGGACCTGACACAACTCCCCGCCTCTCCTCTCCGCACTGTGGGCACAAAGACACTTTTTCTTCCGCAGGGATGGAGCCCCTCGTTCCACCAACACTGCGGAAGCGCTTTGACGGGCAATGGAAAGGAGGGGACTTCTCTTGCACCCCCAAAAGTGGTGGGGGGATTGCCGCCCCTATAGCCATATCTCGGCCCCTTCCCGCTCGCCATCCCCACCCCAGGTGCTGGGGCTCCATTATTTTTATGCAATAACTGAGCTTGGGGGAGCGGGTAAGGGGCCCGTTGAGCCAAGCCCCCTGCCTGGATCCCCAGATCCTGCCCCAGGAAGCTGGGGTGGTAGGGGCGATAATTCCTGCCCTCCTCTCCGCCCTAGGGATGGGTATGGGGGCGCTGGTGAGGTCCCCTGGACCATCCAGGGTGCTAGGGGGTGGGGAGGGGACGGCCCCTCCCCGCCTTTACCTCACTTCCAATGCTGCCTTGATCTCTGTCTGGGAAGGGGGAGTGAAGGGGCCCAAGCCCCCGCACTCCGCCGTCTCAGAGCCATGCGGTTAATTCCTGACTTAGTTTATTTTTGCAAAACGTGGACCTCCTCCTCCCACCCTACACCGCCGCCCCGCATCCGCGAAGGCATTAAATGGGAGGGACGTCAAAGCTCAAAACAGTCTTCCTCTTTCCTCCCCCTCTCATGTTGTCAATGCCACTTCGTGAGGGGAGGGGCGAGGGGAAGCCCTCCCCCTGCATGCTTCAGGCTGAAGCACCTTCCAGGAGAGTGGGGGGAACCGGATTGTGGACAGCCCCCGTGACCTCCTGGAGAAGTCGCTGGGGCTCGGGGGTGTGGGGCGGTGTGGCAGGCGCACACTGTATGTACCTATAATAAATCCTTTGGCTTTGACGATCTATACTGGTTTGTTCGCGTTTCATGGGCTGGGCTTGGGGGTATGGGGGCGGGGAAAGACTGTGGCTGTAGAGAACCTTTAAAGGTCCCCCTCGGTGTGGACTAATAGGAGGGTCTAAACACGTTCCCTGGATGAAGCATTTAGAATCCCAAAGGAATACAGGAATGTTTTACCATCCCTCCTAACTAAACTTCCCCAAAGGAACCGCCGGGTCCGCCCTGTCCGGGACAGGAAAGGCGGGCCCCCCTTAAGGAGGCGGAGACTTTAATTGCGAAGGATGAGGGTTTTGCCCAATCGCCAGCGGCTCTGGGAGTTTCTTGCCCAATGAACACGCCGTGAGGGCGGGGGCGGGGAGACACCCGGAAGCGGGTACCGACCGGCCAGCTAGCCCGCGGGCCATGGCAGCCGCCGCCGCCCCTGCGGCGGAAGGGTTCCCGGGACGGGGCCCTCCCGGAGAGGTGATTCATCTGAACGTGGGAGGCAAGAGGTGAGTTTAGGAGACTCCTGAGGTCCCACCCTCGGGGGCGGCGAGCGGGGTGGGAGAAGTCACTTCTCCCGGGGAATCCTGTTCTCAAGGATTGCTCCGCCCCCTGAGGGAGGTGCGGGAGGCTGGACTGGCTGCGGTGGAGGGTAGGGAATTCACCTGGCCCTGGTGTAGGGAGCCGTATTCCTCACCCTCCCTACATCACCTCTGGTCCGCTCACCTTCCCACCTTCTCCGCACAGATTCAGTACCTCTCGCCAGACTCTCACCTGGATACCAGACTCCTTCTTCTCCAGGTGGTTTGGGAGAGCGAGTTTGGGACGGGGAGGGGCGGGGCGAGAGGAGAAAGTATGGGGAGACCTCATGCCCCCACCCCGCACGTACACACTCCAACCCGTGACACCTGCTCCGTGTCGCTTCCCTGCAGTCTTTTGAGCGGACGCATCTCAACACTGAAAGATGAGACCGGAGCTGTGAGTAGGGCAAGACCTGAAATGGGGCAGCGGGTAGGAGGAGGGACAGATCTCCCACTTAGGCCCTCTCTTTGCGCCATACATCTTCTGCACCCCTTCCCCGCAGATCTTCATCGACAGGGACCCCACCGTCTTCGCCCCCATCCTCAACTTTCTGCGCACCAAAGAGTTGGACCCCAGGTTGGCATGGAGGATGAAGGGATGTCCCCTACCGTCTTCGTGCCCTAAGAAATTTCTTCTCTTCAGAATGTTCACTTAAGCTCCTTGATCATATTTGAATTGTGTGTCCTTACAATTCCCCACAAACACACACATTTTTAGCAGCCATGTCATCACCCATCAAAATTTGCCACCTCGGGATTCTCTGCAGTTTTGAAAACTTTCTCCTCAGAAGTCTATGCCTATTCCCACCACCCAGACCCTGATCCCTGGTCATTTCACTATCCAGGGGTGTCCACGGTTCCAGCCTCCTTCACGAAGCCCAGTTCTATGGGCTCACTCCTCTGGGTAAGTGCGGGCCCCATTAGCATCCTCAATGAATAGAAAACCAGCTCTCTAGTGATGCTCCTCCATCCCCCTCTCTCCTGAAAGAAGGTTGGGTTAGAGCTGACAGCCCTGGATTTGGTCCTGGGTCTCAGGGGAGTAGTGGTATTCTGTGGAGAAAGAGATGGGGGAGAGGGGAAAGAATTGAACTCAGTACCCACCAAGACCCATCCTTCAAGTCTTTCTGCCTCAGTTCGTCGTCTGCAGCTGCGGGAGGAGTTGGATCGTTCTTCTTGTGGAAACGTTCTCTTCAATGGTTACCTGCCTCCACCAGGTAGGCACTATTAAGGAATGGAATGGAGGATGGATAGAATAAAGACTACATTTCCCATGAGGCTGGCAGCTCTTGAGCGCCTGTGCTGTGAACCCTGAGACACTATGGAGTTGTAGTTCTATATCAAATGCATGGTATGATGCTTGGAAAGGAAATAGGAATCAGCATTCCAATGAGGCAGGGCCCCCCTTGAGGCCCTATTGCAGGGGTGTCAAACTTGTTTTCACCGGGGGTCACATCAGTTTGGCAGTTGCCTTCAAAGGGCTGGATGTAATTTTAGGACTGTGTAAATGTAACTCCTTATCAATTAAGTGAGAGCTCAGCACTGCTGCTGGGTAGAAACAAGGTGCTGGGCCGGATTCAGCCCACGAGCCTTGTGTTTGCCACCTGTGCTCTATTGCACGCTGTAGAGTGCAATGAGAGTCATAGTCCAGGTTTGATTATCTTGTGGGAAAGCTTAGAAGAACTGGATTCCTTGCATGGAGGGGAGAACTATTAAAGGAGACTTATTGACTATAATCCATGAGGCCTTGGTGCAGCCAGCCCACTGGTCATGGAAAATATGCCCCAGTGGTCACTGGGGCCTATAATCCATGAAGCTTTGCTGATTGGTAGAAGGGACAGAGGGGAAAATTCAGCTTATGGCTTTGTTTCCCTAACCTCAATCAATATCTATGACTTTCATGAAGTTTGCCAAATATGAAGACCTATGCTGTTGTTTTCTTTTTTTTTAATATTTTATTTATTTATTTTTAGAGAGAGGGTAAGGGAGAGAGAAAGAAAGGGAGAGAAACATCAGTGTGTGGTCACCTTTCATGCACCCCCTACTGGGGACCTGGCCCACAACCCAGGCATGTGCCCTGACTGGGAATAGAACCAGCGACCCTTTGGTTCACAAGCCCACACTTAGTCCACTGAGCTACAGCAGCCAGGGCTATGCTGTTGTTTTCTTAACTTAGCTCTGCCTTGTTTTTTTTTTTTTTAATCATTTTAAATAGAAGCTTAATATCACTACCTTTCTACCATAAATACGTAAACACAAGAATAAGACCCAAACATAACAGTGTTATTAAACTCTGGCTAGATGCTCTTTTCTGCCAAGGGGACAGGCTTCCATTTCTTAAAAGGAAAGATTAGCAAATATTGAAGAGATAATCAATATTATGACTTTCTAAACTGATTCTTCCTTTGTGATAGGCCAAAAAGAACTGAAAAGGGAGTAACTTGCTGTGTGATTCAGTTTCACTTAATGCAGTGTCCCCACACCACCCAAATTCTTTTCATAACAAAAAACTGTGGTCCTGGCTGGTATGGCTTAGTGGATTGAGTGCCAGCCTACGGACCAGAGTTGTTGGTTCATTTCGTAGTCAGGGCACATGCCTCGTTTGCAGGTCAGGTCCCCAGTGGAGGGCACATGAGAGGCAACCACATGTTGATGTTTCCCTCTCTCTCTTCGCCTCTGTCTAAAAATAAATAAAAATTAAAAAATAAAAATAAAAAGATTGTGTTCCACACAATATCTGGCTATTTTAAGGGTTTGCTATGTGGCCACTATTACAATTATTACAGTTATTGTCACTCTGCCCCCTCTCCCTGCCATAGTGTTCCCAATGAAGCGGCGGAACCGGCACAGCCTGGTGGGACCCCAGCAAACAGGGGGACGCCCAGCACCTGTTCGAAGGAGCAACACCATGCCCCCCAACCTGGGCAATGCAGGGCTTCTGGGCCGAATGCTGGATGAGAAGACCCCTCCCTCCCTATCAGGTATGCTCCTGTCTCCTGGGAGGCTAGGCCAGCCAGTGGAATCCCTGCGCCCCTGTGCTGATCTTTGTGCTCCCCTCTAAGGGCTACCGGAGGAACCAGGGATGGTGCGCCTCGTGTGTGGACACCACAACTGGATCGCTGTGGCCTATACCCAGTTTCTTGTCTGTTACAGGTGCTTGGGGAGGGTGGTGGCAGGAGGCTTTTAGCCCTGTTGATGGGGAGGGCTTGGGGTGAGGGTTGATACGTCCCCAATCCTCCAGGCTGAAGGAAGCCTCTGGCTGGCAGCTGGTGTTCTCCAGTCCCCGCCTGGACTGGCCCATCGAGCGACTGGCACTCACAGCCCGGGTGCTCGGTGGGGCTTTGGGTGAGCATGACAAGATGGTGGCAGCGGCCACAGGCAGCGAGATCCTTCTGTGGGCTCTGCAGGCGGAAGGCGGTGGCTCTGAGATAGGTATGGCACCAGGCTTTTTCCAGAAGCCTCTGTCCTGTAGAATTCTACCCTAGTCTGTGGTCCATTAGAATTTTCTACCCCATTAGCATTCTATGGCCTTTGAAAATAACCCTGCTCTACAGTTCTCCAACCCATAAGAGTTCTTTGCGTTATTAGGATGTTCCAACACTTTAGAATTCTGTATCCTGTTAGAATTCCTTAGTCTGGTAGAAAAATCCACCCACATACAATTCTGTCAGAATTCACTGCCCTGTTAGATGTCTTTGCCTTTTTGGAATGCTTCATGCCAGTGGAATGCCAAGCCTATTAGACCCTGTGTTCTCATTAAAAATCTCTGACTTGTTAACTAATCTGTTCCCTAGCAAATCTCGGTTCTCGGGAGAACCCCTGTAATTCCTAATGGAATCCTCTGTCCTGTGAGGATTCCATGGCCAGCTGATTCCTCTGGGCGTCGGAACTCTTGCTGCCATCCTTCTTCTCCCCCACGAAGTAGGGTCCTGGCTGACTGCTCCTTTCCCTCAACAGGAGTCTTCCATCTGGGGGTGCCTGTGGAGGCCTTATTCTTCGTTGGGAACCAGCTTATTGCTACGAGCCACACAGGGCGCATTGGCGTGTGGAATGCCGTCACCAAGCACTGGCAGGTCAGGGTGCTGGCTCTCCCTTTCTCCAGTGTCCAGACTGCACACACCTCTTGGGCGGGGTTTCTTTCCACCTCACCCCACCTGGACAGAGCCAGCAAGCCCAGCAGTGGGCCAGAGCCTGGGCATATGTGTTAAAGGCCTAAAGAGCATCAGGGAGGCCTTCCTGGAGGAGGGACTGCCAAGCTCACAGGAAAGATGGGTGGGTTTGGAAAGGAGAGAGGATTTTCTAGGCACTGGATGGGGGAACAGGGGAGATGGGGGTGAGGGGAGATGGTGTAGGAGACAGAAACCTAGAGAGACACGTGCAAACGTCTGTCATTCTTGCTGCATGTACCCCAGCCATGTCCAAAATGTACAGAAAGCACACCTGCA